AAATCATGCATGCGTAGGACATGATTGGCCGATCGCAAGCTTTGTATAAAAGTAATTTGTGTCTTAGGGACATTTTACTTGACTGGTTAGTTAGTTGGTTGCTTAGCCGGCCGGAGACGAACGCGGCTCTGTTACGGACATTATAAATATGCGTTTTGAATGACATACGCGAGTCCAAAGTGACTCCTAAATATCTGACCTTTTTCTCCCAGGGGAGCGATCAATTGTTATAGTGCTAATCTCTGCACTTAAGATGAAACAATGTGTAGAAAAATAACGAAAAGTTTTTGGCCATCGTGAGAACCCACGTCTTTGGCATTACGCACCCAGACGCTTTAACCACTAGACTCGAAAGAGATAATTTATAACAATAAAATTGTGACACAGTTTCTGAGTCTTACACTTTAGTGTACATGTTTCTTTGTATGAAACTCAAACCAAACCTTTTGTAAAAACTAATCTTAAGTATTTATCCATTCTTAAAACATTCCACTAGATGATAGAAATTCCACTGATACATAGATCATTAGTTTTAGTCAAAGTGACTTATTAAAATGTTTTATATTCAGTCACAAGATTGAGCAGTGGAGGGCGATTAAATTAGCTAAATCTAAATATATAAACTTTCACTGCGTTATGTGTATGTCTAATATAAACGTAGTGATTACATTCTCTTTGTCTAATATAATGAATATTCAAATAAGTAAGTGGGCACGCTATTGACTATGCTTAAGATAATTAAGTGAGCAAGGTTGCCATCTTAGGGGTTTCCCCCAAATTTAGGGGATAAACAAACGAATTGGGATGTTTTTACGTGCACTATATTTTAGGGATATTTTAACTTCTTGTATTTTTTCCTACGTTTGATTTTTATTAAGAAAAATAAAGAACCTGGAATAACGCAATCTACCCAATCATATTTATTGATAGAAAGAAAGAAAGAAAGAAAGAAAACATTTATTGCTCAAATACGCCACATGTACATTTAAACCATTAACAAAAAATACATACTAAGAAGAAAAAAAAGAAGAATAAAAAAAATATTAAATACATTACACATTTTACGCACACAATTGTGTGTGGCGTATACGGCAAACAGACCACACTCAGCTTAATGCTGCAGTCAATACGAGACTACAGCGCTGGTTTTCAGTGGGCCTGTGAATTAAGTGACGTAAGGACGTTAAAACCGTCATTCAAACACTAGTAATAATTAACATAAATTACATGAATAAACTAACTGGATCTAATGAAAAAAGAAAGGAAAAGAATGTCCGAAACATTTTAAAAAGTGTTGTTATCACCATAAGAGTCATGTATATTATGAGGAGTTGGAGTTGGAAATAATATAAAAGATATGCTAAATGATGGTACCCTACAAAAATATTTTCTCACAGGTATGTAATCATAATCATAATCTTAAGCAACAATTTTAATTAATAGCATGAAAAAAAAAAATTTTTTTTTCAGCATTTACGTATCAAAAAAAAAAAAAAAAAAAAAAGTTCTATGCACTCTCATGTGCTTTTCGTATGAACCCACCGGACAGCGCTAAGTGTCTGTAATTATTTAGGTACGTAAATATCACGCCATAGCTTTTTGAACATTAATTAGGTGAGCTTTATATTTTATTTTAAATGTATTTAATGTTTTCAGACTACGAAGCGGTGGCGGCAGGTTATTCCAGCATTTAGAGGCAGAATATTTGAAACTTCCACGAAAGCCGATGGTACGATGGTAGGGAACAACCAAAGAGTAACATGACGAGCGAGTGATCTTTGATTGTACGTCGCGAGACCACACTAATTTGTGATATAGATAAGGTGGTATATTATATTTAATTAATCCAAATAGAAATGTGGCTAGGTGGTGTTCTCGACGATACTGCATTTTTAAAATACTGTGCTCGTTTATGTACGGCGTGACGTGAGCGTGTGGAGGTATTTTAAAGCAGAATCTCGCACAGGCATTCTGCACCCTCTGCACAAGTTTCTTGCTACGCACAAGCAGACGAGGGCCATACACTATATCCATATAATTAAATTTAGACAAAATCAAAGAATCGCACAGTCTTATCCGCATATCGGTATTTAGGCAATTACTAATTTGATATAATACTTTTAATTAAAAACATGTTCTTGCAGTATTTATTATGTGACTTTCAAAGTGTAACTTGTCATCTATTAACAAACCCAAATTGCGAGCCTCAGTCACGCGTTCAATTCGTTCGCTCCTAATGGTTACCTTAGCTTCGTGTTTTGCTATTTTTTGTATTTGCTGAGCCGTACCTAGAATCATATATTTAGACTTGCTTCCAAACTTCCTTCTTTGATCTAGCGATATCTAGTACGGTTTTTAATTACTAAGAATGCGGTGTTGAACTATGGAGAGTAGAGAAAAATAATCAAAACGCATTCAATAGCGGAAGCGTAGATTAATTTTAAGGTCGATTTACACCGGTCAAGTGTTTAGTAAAGTAAACAAACACAGTAAGTGCAGTAGTATAAACCGTCCAACTAAGAATGCGGTGTTGAACTATGGAGAGTAGAGAAAAATAATCAAAACGCATTCAATAGCGGAAGCGTAGATTAATTTTAAGGTCGATTTACACTGGTCAAGTGTTTAGTAAAGTAAACAAACACAGTAACTGCAGTAGTATAAACCGTTGGACAGTGGTGAGTCAACTTGGCTTGCAGGCTGCCTTACAACTAAATTGAAATAGAATAGCTTTCTATTTTTTATTGCAAGTGCGCCCTCGCGCGCCTGCTTAAACTACAAACTAATGCCATTTTCTTGTACATACAAGAGCAATAATTGAATGCAATAAACGCTAACTGCCCTCATTTGTTGCTTCAATTTAATTGTATACAACAGGCAAAAATTGCACAAATTTTTAACAGGCAATAAAATTGCACATATTTTTAGACTTTTACTTCGTCATTTCGACAAAGAAATGCTACTGGACTTATTGTATAAAGCCACTTGTCTGGTGCCCGCCACTAGCTACTCGGCACTATCCTTGACTAATGTCAATTGGACTTTAAAGAAAGCTCCAAATTAATTAAAATTCTTTATCATTTATTATTAATCATATTTTTAAAATTACGGTAAAAATATTGGTCGCCAAAAGAAATCATAAGAGACAATTTTTTATAAAATTAAATTTCCTACAATTTTCTTTTAAACACTTTTTATATGACCCTTATTTACGCCGCAATATCCTTTACTGTATTATTCCATTCAAGTGGAAGTTAAGGCAAAAATCTTTTTGATTATGATGAAAAATTTTATTTTATTAGGGGTTTTTGACTAAAATATATATTTAGTTTAACCTAAAATAATTAATGACAAATACAGTAATATGTTCAACAATAAAAAATACCATCTAATTCACACTATAGTTTTTTTTCTTGAATGGTAGATGTGGCTAATGGGATCACTTCCAAACCAAAAAGACACTTAAAGACTGATTAGAAAACTATTTATTTTAACTTAAACATTTTGAACTTATTTTAGACGAAACGTAATGATTATGAAATTTATGTAAACTAAAAGAGTTATGTCAGATACATAGACATGTTACTTCTTTAAGTGATTTTTACCAGTCTGGCGAAACTAGGAACAGAAAATTTTTCTATGGACTTTACGCGGCAAATAATGGCGGACATTGCTATCACTCTCCCTGAATGCGGTTTCACTTTCTTGCAATCCAAGAAGTGCCATGTTGTTTGTCGAAACTTAATTTCGCACCGCGCATTTTGAATGTAAATTTATTAAAATTAAATACTTATTTCATTGTAAATTTACATTGTTTAAAGTAAACTTTCTCACGAAAACTAGTGATAGGTGATCAGAGTTGTACTTTTAATTCAAAATGCCTAAAAGACGGTTTATTACCTGTGAAATTGATGAAAATCGAGCAAGTCATTCGAATCTTGAAAAAAGGATGTTTATGGCGAGATTTCCCTTAGATGAAGCCCATGTAAGCACTTAAATATGATACTTTGCAGCCATATGTAAGTAGATCATGCTAAGAACAAATAAAATTAAAAAATTTATCTCATTTAAGTTGTGTGCTAGTGATGTACTGCAACTGTAATATCCACATATCGATAACTACGTTAATGTTTATCATTGAAAAAAATAAAAAATAAAATGTTGCGTGAAAGAGTAGGGGCACAAAGTTTTACATATTTGAATGGGGTGCCTACATAAATAAGCAAGGATCGGAATAGGTGATATTTGCAGGATTTTGAAACATAATCTCTGTAATATTGATACGTCATGTAATTAATTTCGTGCGCTGAGTATGCAAGCAAACTAAAATAATTTTTGGATTTTGACTCTATTTTTATGTTTCAATTATTTCCAGACTCGTGTACAGCAGAAAAAAAGCTGTTGGCTGAAGAATCAAGAAACTAATTTGATTTCAGTAATAAAATTTTATTTTAATTAACAGAAACCGTTTTTTATCTTATTTCGGGTCCGTATTCAAGTCCAATTTTCTACCAAATATCCCCTCATCAACATTGGACATAAATACGGACTCGATACTTACCTACTAAAATTAATAAAAAAAATATTAATAAATAAATAAAATCATAAATTCCCAAAAAAAAAAACGTAGAACGTCACTGTCAGTGTCAAAGTCAAGGAGACGTACGATTGTACAGTCTAACTTTTGGAATTTTGGATTGATTAATAAAAATAAATAATAACGTGTCGTAAACGTAACTTCTTTTCAGTTTGTAATAAACATAAAATAATAAAATGTAAAACTATCCTTATTTAAAAGCAATATAATAAGCATATATAAAACATTATATATAAGCACCGAACCTATTAGGTACTATTTGTATTTATTTCGACACTCTTAATACAACCTTACGCCAGTTTACTTACATATATTTAATAAATCGATAATAATTTTAATGAACATTTAAAATATTAATGAAATGATATAAGTACACTTTATCGTTATCTTTTTTCAGATGTAAATTATGTTGGAACTACCTCGTATAACGAGAGCTCTAAGAGCACATACACAATTAGATAAACCTCGTTGTCTTAAACCTTCAAGTAACTTCAAAATTGGAAATCAATTTGTGCATCAAAAAAGTCAAAAAAGGTATGATTTTAATTTTTGGTTCTGTAATAATATTATATAAACAATGTTATAAAAAAGTATAAAACACTTGTTAATTGAAGCTCCTCATTTTTTTTTATTTTTCTATATCGTTTATGAGTAATATTCACTGTTCATACTACTACTTAATTTAAAACAAGTTAGCTTTAAAGTAAATCTTGCTGGCCTAACATGTTTAAACCTACCCTTATGCCCAGTATTGTAACTTAACATTCAGAATTTCATTTAATTTTTACGAAAGGATTACCCTTTTACTTATCACAACAATTTAAAAATAAGTAGGGATGAGGGCATACATACAATATAGCATAATTTACTGAAATTGGGATTGAAATAAGATGTACTGTCTGTTACTACAGAAAAATCTTTTTTTTATCCTCTTTTGGTTTTATTTTCTTTGTATGCAATAATAAAAAATGTTTTTTTTTTGCCCTAAGGTACAAGAGTTTTAAAGACATTTATAACTTTGTGAAAGAAAATGAACCAAACTATGACTACTTGTTGAAATGCCTTAATGATCTCAAAGAGTCTTGTAAAGTTTTAACTGGTGATCAGCCTGATGAAATGGTAGAAGATGCTGCAGTACTCACACTCAGAATGTTTTTGGATCAGGACATTGTTATGTTAAAACATTTGTCTCAACTTCGTCAAACATTCGGAACAGTCCTCTCAAGTACAGCTAATAAAATTTGTGAGGTAAAAATTCTATGAACCTTTTTACATAATGTTGTACATACATAGTTGCCTAAACATAAATATCTAAACCAGGTATGAATACCTTGACCAGTATTATTAAGTACACCTTAATTACCTAGTGTATCTGTGTAATCTAGTTTGTTAAATTGAAAGGATAATAATGAATTATAATTCATTAACAATTTTTCAAAAGTTTTAATATAAAATTACCTTATGAACATACATACTAAATAAATAATATTATTTTAAAGATTTATTGGTAGATACCAATAAAATGTTAATTTAAAATAGCATTCTTACATTATGCATTTCCAGCTTATAGAAATTTGTATTCCAAAAATTTCTCTTATCTCTCAAATATTTCACATTTAGGTTGTCGCAAAAATTTCTGCTGACATAACAGAAGACACTAAAGAATACATCAGGAAGGAAATTAATGAGGAAAATAAAGAAAACACTAAGATCTGGGGAGATCACATACAATGCAACTATATTCCATATAAGCCAGCAAAGAAACCTCTCACTAAGTTAACCAAAAAACCTGCTACTGCAAGTGCATTTGTGACAGATTTTTCCATGAAATATACTAATAACAATTTTAACACAAACAATGCTACTGTTCCAAATCCCCAGCTAGAATCTAAGGTAAAAATCTGTATTTTGTGTCATTCATTACCAAAAATAATGTAAGTACTGATTTTGCTATCATATGCCATAGTTAAGACTTTTCAAATATTTTATCTACATTATTTTTTAAGCAATGTTTGACGCATGAATCGTTATGACCTTTACAGCATCTTTACAATTTAAAATATCGTTTTGAATGTGTGTGTAATGATATTCGAATAAGAATGTCGCCATTGCTATTTGAAATTTGAATTTTTAATGCTAATTACACACTTGCACTTAAGATGAAACATTATTTGTAGAATAGTTCTGCTGGAACTTTTTTTGTTTCCATTGTCAACAATAATCTATGATAGAAATAAAAATGTTTACAGTTCGGGAAAACCTGGTTGGAGACAAAAGTGCAAGGGCTTTACAACAATGAAGGTGGTATGTCTAGTGCAGACATTCTGCAATCTATAATAACGTTACTAAACTCGCCAACAAGCAATGATGAAATGCAAAACGACCTCTTCGAACTTCTCGGCTTCGACAAGTTTGAATTTATTCAGGAGATATTGGAGCACAGACGCGAGATTATCGATAGCTTAAAGGCACCACCACCACAGCCAACAATATCAGAAAGTAAGTAACAATAATTTAAAAACATTTCTAAAATCTTTATTATGTTATCAAATGTAGCCATCAGTTCTTGATAGGAAGTATAGAATAAATTGGTGCTATTTTATTAACATAATATTCAAAATGTATTAATAGTGTAGTTAAATATATACTATATTAAATATTTACTATATAAATGTGTGTATATAATACATTTCTATTATCACTTTTAAATATTAATTTATTAAGCACTTGATATAATTAATATTGGTTTCCTAGTTACTTTGTATTTATTGTTATGTTTATTTGATATAAATGTGATCGATATCGAGTTGAAAGCACCCTCTCCACAAGCCGCCGCCTCACGGCCGGCGTACCACAAGGCTCCTGCCTCTCACCTTTGCTCTTTACGCTCTACACGAGCGATATACCTAAAGACCCCCACTTCAATCTCGCGCTTTTCGCGGATGACACGGCGCTCTTTTATTCAGACCGCAACCTTAGACAACTAACCACTCGACTCCAAAGCGCTGCCGACCGCCTCGGCGATTGGTTCCGCAAATGGAGAATAGAAATAAATCCCGAAAAGAGTGTGGCGATTCACTTCACACGAAGTACTTACCCGTCACATCTTTACAATGGCCCTCGTCAATGCAGAAAGTTGGGGCAATCCTTTTATTCCCCTGGGAGAAAAAGGTCAAATACTTAGGAGTCACTTTCGACTCGCGTATGTCATTTACTACGCACATTAATAACGTTAGCAATAGAGCCGCGTTCGTCTCCGGTCGGCTACACAATTTAACTAACGTTAAAAGTAAATGCCCTTAAGGCACAAATTATTATTATATAAGACCTGCGTACGACCTATTATGTCTTACGCATGCATGACCTTCGCCCACACGCACCCTACTCACTTGTACAAGTTGCAAATAGTACAAAATAAGTTCATCCGCCGCGCAACCGGTGCGCAGTGGTATCAACGCAACGTTGACCTGCACAGCGATTGCAGACTCCCGACGATTCACGAATATTTTAAAGACCTGACCAAACGGTTCTTCGATAGAGCCGAACATCATCCCAACCCTCTGGTGGTAAGCGCAGCAAATTACCAACCCGACAAAAACGCGAACATCAACAAGCGTCGCCCGCGAAACGTCCTAATCGACCCGGTCGAGGAAGGGGACTTAGTGCAGTTTAGTGCAACAACAAACACACTAGTTCGCCCTCGCCTCCGAGCACGCCGAGACCAACACAACGCGTACACAAGGTACACCCGCGATCCGGGGCGGTCGTCTCACCGCCCCCAGCCACCGATTAGCTAATTGCACAGTCGACGGCCATCGGGGTTTCGGTCCGAACCACGACTTCGATGGCCCTTAGATGACACACCATAGTTAAACGCACGCATGAGCACATGCGTGGCCCTACCCACAGCGGAGGGCCCAAACCCGTGGGTTCTGGCTAGCCCACCGGTTCTGCGTCAGATGAAGCTTTAATAGTCTCGGGACTGAAAGCAAAAACATCAGTTAATACAATACAATATAACAATATAAATGTGACCTTTAAAAACTGAAAAATCATAAAAAAGACAGTACTAAAAATAAAAGGATTTTTTTTAAACTGTCTCCAGTTTGAATTCTTCTTAATTTTAGGATTGTTGCTATACTAATCTTAATTTCTACAGTTGCAGCTTTACTGCCAGAGAACAAAATGCCCCAATACCTATGTCAAGTGTCAGTTTTATCCGAGCAAGAGAAAATGTTAGCAAAGCTTGTGCGAAAGGAAGAGAAGAAAGCTAGGAACGCTAAAAAAGTAGAAGACGACGAAGAAGAACAAGAACTGAATATTGCTCAACTAAGGGCGAAGAGGTAGGAGAATAATTATATCTCTAATTAATGATTATTGTGATTTCCCTAAATTATACCTTTAATTACAAATATATTTTTATATTATATTACTTCTATATGAATAAAATACTATAAAACACATTGGCAACACCAATACCCATTTCATATTTTTTTTATGTAAGATGACTAGAAATCACCTAAATATAAGTGTTAACCGCCGCCCATAGATAACACCCATACGGTTAAAAATGCCTTGCCACCTTTTTAATAAAGTGGGCCACGGGTACCTCACTCACCAGACGAAAAAATAATCAAAATCATTTATTCAGCGACATAAGAAACTTACATTTCATCTATCGATAGTCATATTTTTTTAAATCTGTTTCATAATGAGGTTCGTCTAGCGGAGAAGAAACTCTTTCGTATCCTCTTTTTTGTTATTTTTTTTTTTCTAAAAAAAATTAAAATATTATACTTACAACAATTTTGTTTTCCTTTTAGAAATAGGGGTTATTGTCATTAATGTATTCATTTATATTATAATAACCCTTTTTATAAGGTTTGTCTTTAATAAACTTCTTAAACCAGTTAAGAGGCAGGTTTTGCGCATTTACTGGGACATGGGAAACGCAGGAGTATAACACTTCCACTTCAAACCGGTGGGCGGCGGCTATCACTTAACAATCATTTAATATTAATCAATTGAACCACCTGCTCGTACCATCTTTAAAAAATCTAATCTAAATTTAAATACCCTTCCGACAATGACATAGTCCGTTTAGCATGTGCGAGTCGTAGGATATTGCTCCTTGGGAAAAGGAATATTTATAAAAAAAATAATTATTATAGAGAACCCTTTCAATGAAAGGGTTCAGAAGTTTAAGGTTCAACAGATATGATCGCAATCCACCAGTGGAGTAAGCTAGCGTCGTAGTTTTCGATTTATGAAAAAGACTGCGTCAATGCTTTTAAAGTATTCGATTATCAACTTTTGATGAGACCGTGACACAGTTGCCAAGGTGTTGGCTTCGGCGCCAGGGTTAGTAGTGGGCTCGATTCCCACAGGTGACCGCTATTTGTGTGATAATTGTATCCGATTTGGCTGTTTATGCACGTAAAACGTCCATCCGACACAGGAGAATGTTGCCCTACAGTAAGGGCAAAGAGTAAAAAAGTTTTTTTTTTTTTACATTTACAGAATAGCAGAACTATCCAAGCCGGTGGTGCCATTTTCTACGTCCAAATCTGCGAGTAAAATAGATCCAATACTGCAGAAAATATCATATTTCCAGACCAAAGTACAATATCCGAATGTCTACGATTCGTCTATAGAAGCCAAAAATTCTGCTGGTAAGTTTGCGCCTTTTAAATATTTCATAATTAATACAACAGTCGCGCAAAACTAATTATTCTTAGTGAATTTGGCTACAAGAGTTAAAAAATTTTACAACAATGTTGTTCGTAACTGTACATTCACATTTAGTAGAGACAAAAGTAGTTATGACTGTGGCGCGAAAGAGACGGCATTCTCTCTCACATCACCGCATATAGCCAGTAAACTGTGTAGTGCACAAAAACTTTGAAGAAAATCAAAGATGCGTTTATTTCTTACGTTTTCAATTTAACGCCTTATGTTTAAAAACACGTAAACAACTGTCTATTTAAGTGTCTGTTTTAAATGCATCAAATAACTTTCGATATAATATGAAACTCAAAACAAACCTCACACTAGCCAGACGTATGACTTTCCATACATATTTATCGCCTTAGCACAGCCATCTTAGAGCGTTTTTCACACAAGTTTCGATAAATAGCTTTGTAAATTAAGCGGTTATAATAAAATGAAAATAAATTATAATATAATCTAATTAATTTTCATTATATTATAGTATAATAAAATTATATAAATTAAGGAAAAGGTTCAGACGATTGTAACCGACATAAATTTTGCACAAAACAACTGCAGGTTTCGTGTCAGGCCTAAAACTGTTGCTACCAGAGAACGCAATCAGAAAGGATAACAAGGAGTACGAAGAAGTTATCATACCGAAGAACGAGCCGCCACCGTTGCAAATCGGGAACAAACGCGTACCGATTTCAGATTTGGACGAGGTATTACTTGAAACTGTTTAAAGCAAATCAGACCCAATGCCTCGCAATTATTGTCTATCTGACAAGGATATTAAAAACAACCATTCATTTTTAAAATATTAATATAACTTACCTAAAGTACCGTCCATATAATTTCATTTTATGTTTTATATGAAGCGCACTCCAGCTCCCAAGATACGTATGATATGTAACTATACATTCCCAAGATATGTAACTAACATTAATTAGATATAAATGATCTGTACTGATATTATTATAGAAATAAATAAATAAATTAAATCAAATTAAAACTGTGGTAGGGCCACGCAACAGTCGCTGTTGCACGAATGGGCAGGTCCGTCCGGGTAAGTACCACTGCACCACGGCATATTCACTCTCATCATTGCAAACGCACCAAAAGAAGTAAGTAGCAACAAAGTAGATAAAATTCGTTGAGATTTTCGCCGATGCGAAGATAAGACGTTTACGTACGCGGCGAAAAACATTTCGTCCATTTTTCGACGAACCATTAAATCTTCCAGATCGGCCAAATGGCCTTCGAGAACATCAAGGAACTGAACCGCATACAGTCGGTCGTGTTCCAAACCGCGTACAACACTAACGAGAACCTCCTAATATGCGCGCCCACTGGTGCCGGGAAGACCAACATTGCCCTGCTGACTGTGGTGCACCAGATCAAGCAGCACATCGAGAATGACGTCATCATGAAGAACAAGTTCAAAGTAAGTGGAGTACCGCATCATTTCTAAGAGACTTTTTTTTTTCGACCTTTCTACGTTTCTACGCGAAGGAGGCGATGGCACGCAATTACGCCTTGGCTAATTGTGGTTTTTTTTTTCGATTTTTATAACATAAGGAAGTTATAGATAATTTTTCATTCTTTTTCCTTTTTTAAAAATTGCATTATTTATTCCCCGTTTTCGACATTGAATTTATCGACAAGCTCATCCGAATTCCGAATCCTTCGAAATTCTTCTCTACGCCAATTACACTCTTTAAATACATACTGCACTTGCCTTTGCTTTTTAGTGTCCAATAAATCTATATTTATCCATTCATCCATCCTATAATTTTATGCCATTGCTTTTAATTGAATGTACTCAATCGACGTGAGTTGAAATCCCAGTGCTGTCACTAATGATTTTTTTTAATTAATTGAACATTTAATTGGTCACGCATCACTTCACTCATCACACTGAAAGAAAACATGATGAGGGAACTAGTATATTTCCGAAATAAAAACAAAAAAAATATTTCGAAGGTATATGAAGTCCGCCAATTTGCGATGGAATTTATACAATTATACATACAAAAGTGTCTTCCACACAGAGGGTATTAGAACATCCTAATACCCTCTGTGTAGTAGTGCATGGAGGATGCCTTTGCCCAGCAGTGGGACATGTATCTACACTGTTACTCACTCATGCGGTCATCTGTACCCGAACAGATCATCTACATAGCGCCTATGAAGGCGCTCGCTTCCGAAATGACGGCCAGCTTTGGGAAGCGTCTACGCGGCTTGGGAATATTGGTGCGGGAGCTCACGGGCGACATGAAGCTGACGAAGGCAGAAGTGCAGCAGACCCAGATGATAGTTACCACGCCCGAAAAGTGGGACGTCGTCACTAGGAAGGGGGCGAGTGAGTTAGCCGCGACCTATCGTGTCGAATTTTAATAACTTTTTTGGTATATATAGATCTATATATACAGGGTGGCTTTTCTAAAGGTGCCCAAATTCACACAGGAGGTTCAGACTCGGTAGTATAATTGTTTATTGTAATAAAAACAAACTTTTTTTTAAAAAAAAAATCCAAAAATGGAACTTCTCAGAATAATTAAAATATGTAGAAAAAAAAAAGATTTAAATTTGTCAGAATAAGAAAAAATAGAGTCTAAAAAATATAACTTGTTGAAAATGCGGTAGTCATTCATAAATGCGTCGTATACTTTTGAAACAAACTTGTGTGCGTGTTAGTTATGAATGATCGCGCGTAAAATAAAAGAGTTGCCCATAAATCACGCACTTTTTGAGAGTAAGTAAGTATACGAATCCGGGTCAGGGTCTTAATTTAAGAAACAATATTCTTTGACACTGTGCCATCTTTGCTTAACTTTTATAGGTCTTCTATAATCTTCTCGACTCGATAACTCGAACTTCTCGTTTTCAGCCGATACCGAGCTGGCCTCTATCGTGAAACTCCTAATCATCGACGAGGTCCATCTCCTGCATGGAGACAGGGGCCCGATCGTGGAGGCGATAGTGGCAAGGACCCTGAGACAGGTCGAGTCCACGCAGAACATGATTAGGATCGTAGGGCTGTCGGCAACGCTGCCCAATTACGTTGATGTTGCCAGGTATGTAATGCCAATTCAAGAACAGTAATTTAATAAATGTAATATATTCACGCGAACACCATTAAATGAAATTATTTTTTATTAAGACTTATTTCGTGACGTTTCCGACTCGGGATTGTGGGGCCAAAGTATTAGCATATAACAATCAACAAGGAAATGATATGACGATGCCTATTTATGCTATGCATTCAATATTCAAAGTGATGTCTAACTTTATGATAAAGTGGTTTCCCGCTTTATATTAAAGTGATCTCCGACTTTATAAGAAATTCATATCTGGCTTTATAATAAAGTGAACGTCTAACTTTATAATAAAGTGATATCTAACTTAATAATAAAGTCGTGTCTGACTATATAATAGTGATCTCTGACTTTATATTAAAGTGATCTCCGATTTTTAATAAAGTGGTACTTTGACGATTCCCATTTTTTGACTTAGATTCCTGCGAGTGAACCCAAACATCGGCCTGTTCTATTTCGACTCCCGTTTCCGACCAGTGCCGTTGGAGCAGCAGTTCATCGGAGTTAAAGACGTGGGCAGCGGCGGCGGGGCTCACCTCAGACAAGTAGATATCGTGCTCCGACATTTTAAGCTCGAGTATTTTTTTTTTTATTTCAATAAAAATTGCTATTGCTAACCTAAGTAAGGTTATTACGTTTTACATACAAACATTTCTCGCGGACAAACACACTGATCCGAAATTGTCTGTGGGTCACACAAATAGTTGTCCCATGTGGGAATCGAACCCGGGGACCAACGCCGAAGCCAGTACCTTGGTAATTGCGGCTTATATAAGTCACTTCTGATGTTCGCGTAAACATTGCGCACTGTTTAACAGCACGGTTAACGGTTCTCGTTCAATTTCGGTTTTAATTCCCGACTTTTTGAACACATCACAGGACTTGGTGAAGTGCTCAGGACGAGAACATTTTTTAACAAATCAGATAATTTAGTAGAAGGGCTCGTGCGAGAAAGTTAACCCGGCACAACGGAATATTATAACCCGTCCCGAAAAAGACAAAAAAAATGTAAAAAAGCTAATTTTGCGCATAACGAAATGTGATAAACATACGCAAATACGTACTACCGCGATTGAAAGCTATGAATATATTGAATAACGAAATTTTAGGATATCAAAAACAATTTTAATACGTTAATCTGGCAAGCGTACGTCACCTGTTAAGTCTCTCCGCCTCCCATGGACATCTACATCCGAGATACCAAACACCTCTCACCGGACGAATCGCTTAACGCTTCCACTAAACCATTCGTGCGTTGCCTTCGTTCCGGTTCGAACGCCCGAATATTCGCCAGTTGCAAACGATGAACGAGATATGCTACGAGAAGGCGGCCGACATGGTGCAGAAGGGCCACCAGGTGATGGTGTTCGTGCACGCGCGGAACGCCACCCACCAGACGGCGACGGTGCTGAAGGAGCTCGCCCAGAAGAAGGGCCACCTGAAGCACTTCGAGCCGGAGGACTCGGGCGGCTTCCTGAAGGCCAAGAAGTCGATCAGCACCAGCCCCAACAAGCAGCTGGCCGAGCTGTTCGCCAGCGGCTTCGCGTGCCACCACGCCGGGATGCTGAGGAGCGACAGGTACATTCATCATCCTCCTGCCCTTATCCCATTCAGGTGGGATTGGCACAGAATGTGAATCGTGCTATACAGGGAGGCTTTTCTAAGTGTATCCATTTTTTTTTATTAAATTCTAGACATAAATAATGTTATATAAAAAATGATAAATATTTAAAATCACTCGTAATTAATTAAATACATTCATACGAACTTATCGAAAAAAGTGCGTGATTTATGGGCAACTCATTATTTTAAGCGCGATCATTCATAACTAACACGCACACAAGTTCGTTTCCGAACTGGCTTCCGCATTGTCAACACGTTCTGGTTTTTAGGGAATGGAAAGGCAATTTTTTAATTTAAATTGTTTTTATTTCATTAAACGATTATACTACCGAGTCTGGACCTCGTGTGTGAATTTGGGCACCTTTAGAAAAGCCACCCTGTATAATTCGCGCACGAAGGGTTCCCTACCATTGTCTTTAGAAACGGCAAAAAGTATCATATCTCTTGTATAGGAGAATTACTTCAATATTTTTATTATGTTTTTTAGTATTTGTTGTTTTTGCAGCAACAGAAATATATCATCTGTGAAAATTTCAAATGTCTAGCTGTCACGGTTCATGAGATACGGCCTGATGACAGACGGGCAGACCGACAGACAAACAACGAAGTCTTAGTAATAGGGTTCCACTGTACTCTTTGGGTACGGAACCCTAAAAAAGGTACTCGTGAATGCGAACAGGCAAAATAATTACAGTAGAAGTACTGTGGAGAATTGTAAATTATGAGGGTTATGCTTGCTACCAAAAAGTCAATACTATTTTTTAATTGCTCGCATCAATTCTTCACGAAATCCTAAGGCTTCCATTTTTCGGATATTTATCCCGCCAAACATGTAAGAGAATAACTTTATTAACATTTCAACTTGTATTAACATTAGTTCCAGATTGTGTATGTTGAAAGATTGTTTTTTAATTAGCCACTACTTAATATCATTACTTAATTGTATTAAAAAAAATATTTCAGAAACATGGTTGAAAAGTATTTCGCAGAGGGCTACATAAAAGTTTTAGTTTGTACGTCCACTTTGGCGTGGGGCGTTAATCTGCCAGCGCATGCCGTTATAATAAGGGTAAATAATATTAAACCTTACAGTTAACAATTTCTTTTTGTCGTAAACGATTGACGACCCGATTGGCGTAGTGGGTAGACCTCTTGCGCCAGAGGGAGTGGGTTCGATCCCCACTATTAGAAAAATATTGTGTGATGAACATAGTGTTTTTCTGGTGTCTAAAATATGTATTTTTTTTACAAAAGAAAAGTATATTTAAGTAATTTTACCCCTAAGTACCCTTAGTACAAGCGTTGTTTAGTTTGGGACGTTGTGTAAAATTGTGTCCTGAATAAAAAATAAAGATTTTTGAAAACATTTAAATCACCTTTAAAAAATTGAGTAATATCCGATCCAAAAAAATGTCGAATCTGGCTCAAAGGACTACTTTAATTTATTTATTAAAATATAAGGTGATTTTTAAATTTGATTATAAAGAAAAACACTAAACTAAAACAAACAAACTAAACACTAAATTTTATGCTATACAAGTACATTTTTATGAACAAAACAATTTTTAAAGTGGTGATTTCCTTATCGTTAATAATTTATAAATAATATTTATTTATTGAGACTAACCAACTAAATACATACAGAACATTGACATCTAAATACATATAAAACAAACTTGAATTGGAGAACAGAAACTTACTTAACTAAAAAAATTATATTTTATATCTGAAAAAAAAAAACTAAAAACAAGAAAATGTAATTTAACATATAAATGTGTTTTAAAGTTCCCAAAGTTTGAGTTCGTCAACCGCGAAACGGTTTCGTAATTTTAAAGTCAATGATACAACGCAAGCAATTTAAGCCGACCTCCTCACCAGGGCACGGAGATCTACGACCAGAGCCGCGGCACGTTCGTGGACCTGAGCATCCTGGACGTGCTGCAGATCTTCGGGCGCGCGGGCCGGCCGCAGTTCGACAGCTCCGGCACGGGCGTCATCATCACCGCCCACGACAAGCTCACCCACTACCTCAAGTCCATGACCAACCAGTTCCCCATCGAGAGCAACTTCATCAACCTCCTCGCCGACAACTTGAACGCCGAGGTCTGCCCGCTCCGCCCGGGGTTTTTCCATCTTCTTCTTTTCGAATCAAAACGGCTGTTTAAATTGGTTAGGTAATTATTGTGGCTGTAGGAGAATACCCCATTGTGGTTGTGTGATGAATGTACTATGGCCTAAAACCCGCTATGAAAAGATCTTTGGTTAGCTGTGGGACAGAGAAGGGCTGCTGTTACTTTACCAAATTACAGCGACGTCTGTTGGTGCGTAAACCAACTAATACACAAATAAAAAGTAAAGTAACAACCTATAAATGTCCCACTGCTAGGCCTCCTTTGTACATAGTCCACCTCGCGTGGTGCGGATTGGCGGGCTTCACATATCTTCGAAATATTTGGTTGTTATCATTTCGAAAATTTGCAGGTTTCTTCACGATGTTTTCCTTCACCACCAGTGAGACGTGATAAGTCAACACTTAAAATTAGCAATTTCCGGGGATCATACTAGGGTCGCTCGAGTATATTTAATTAAAGGCGAGCGGCCGGACATTGAGCTAAATTATATGAACGCAGTGCAATACCGTATAAACACACACATAAATCCAATAATCCATAATAGTCGTAAACACACACATAAACCCAATACATCGTTTCAGGTCGCCCTCGGCACGGTCACTAACATCGACGAGGCGGTCGAGTGGCTTAGCTACACGTACCTGTTCGTACGGATGAGGATCAATCCGCAGGTGATTTTTTATTTATTTATTGTAATTCACAATGTAGCCATATTGACATCTTATGTCGTTTTAATCGCAACGTAACGTAAACGGTCTCTCCGACACGCAAACGATCTTTATATTTTTTACTACTTAACTTTGACTGATGTTTTTGCTTTCAATCCGTCGATTAGAATGCTTCATCGATCTCTCGAGATTCCACGAATTTGTCGTTGACTGTATTAATGCGTGATGAGAACCGTCTTGGGAAGCGGGAGATCGCGGCACGTAAGTTGAACCAAAATAGTGGCCATCCGTGCTACATGGTGTGATGCTATGTTACATGGTTGCTCCACGCTGCTATAAACGCAACGTCCTCCCGGGAAATTAAATAATCGTAAAGAAAAAACCGGAGTTTGTCATGATGTATTTTTAAAAAGTGTTATGTAATTATTATTAGTAATGTGCTTAGCTTAGTTGGTAAACCGTCTGCTCGCGAAACCGAAAGACGCAGGTCCGAATCCGGCCGCGCCGAAAGTGTTCGTACAATTATCTAAACAAATTAACAATTAAAAGTTTCGCCTTGATCGCACCATTGAGACTGGCATTAAACTAAATATTAAACAAAAAAAAAATTCAAGACGGGCACAAAAAATAAAAATTATAACAAAAAAAAAACAAGCCGCCACTTGATATTTGTCAAACACGCCCCAAGGTGTACGGGCTGACGTACAGCGACGTGCAAGAGGAGCCGATGCTGGAGAGCAAGCGGCGCGAGCTGATCACGGCGGCCGCGATGCAGCTCGACCGCACCCACATGCTGCGCTACAACGAGCGCACCGGCGACCTCAACGTCACAGGTATTGGGCCGTTGGGTCCCGGAGTCCCGGGCTGGTGGGATATTCCAAGGCGTATCCTGCCCTAAGTATTGGGTTCCACAGTCCCTGGCTCGTAGGATGCGGCTAAGGCGTCTCCAGCTCTAGGTATTTGGTACCGCTGTCACGGGTTGATGAAGAACGGCTAAGGAGTAGAAGGCGACTAAAGGGGTACACGGACTGCAAGCAGTGCGAAGCGCTCTAGTGCTGTTGCCAGTCCGAGAGACTTGGGTAGGTCTATCCTTCGCCGAGGCGAGCTCATGCTCTGTACCGAAGTTGTTTTAGCGGTTTTAGCGGGAACGAATTTGAGGAATGACATGGTATCTTGTAAAGACCCCCTTACCCCCGATAACATAAATAAAAACTCACGGGGCCAGAACACCCACGGATCCTGGCTTAATGGCAGTGGCACAGTATTATTGGTAGGAAGAGTATCAGTGGTTCCTTTGCACTTGGAACATCCGCCTGAGATGGCCATAGTATTTTTCCTATGTGAGAAGGAGGCAAGCGAGCTGGCGGTTCAATTGAAATAGATGGAATTAAATGGAACACTAACTTCACCAAACTTCTGTGTTAGTGATAACTCTGTATTGAACCTATCTTATCTCCACAGACTTGGGGCGTACCGCGAGCCACTACTACATAACTTGCGAGACCATGGAGGTGTTCAACTCGATGGTGCGCAAATCCATGACCCAGGGCTACGTGCTGGAAATGCTGACCAGGTGTTCCGACTTCCAGCAGCTAAAGGTACCCCTTAAACATAGTTATTTAAGCATAATATTTTTATATGCCTATTATTTTAGCATTACATCTAGACAAACACTCCACGCAACAGTTGTTAAATCTCAAAAGTGGCAACTTATTTCACATAACTTCGAAGAATACATTTCGACGCCATCTGCCTATCGATGCCCTAATGCCATCTAGAATGGTCTGCACTTAGACAAATGCAACAAATAAACACTCTTATATCTATACCGGATTTCTCTTTCTCCTCTCACAGGTGAGAAAAGAGGAGTTGTCAGAGCTGTGGAGCCTGAAGGACCAGTACTGCGAGCTGCGAATAGACGACGCCCCCGAAGACATCCATTGGAAGATCAACATCCTGCTGCAGACCTATCTCTCTCGCGGACGCGTCAACGGATCCTCGCTCCAGTCCGATCTGAACTACATCAGTCAGGTGAGCCGATAGCGACAGCAAAATTTCAATTAACGATACCAATAACCTAAGTATGGTCAGTAAAGAAATTAGACGCCTAACGCTTTAATAAATCATATTAATAACTCAATGTATGGTCAGCAAGGAAATTAGCCGTCTAACATTTTAATAAATAATATTTTTAACTTAAGGCATGGTAAGCAAGGAAATTAGACGATTAATGCTTAGCCAGGCCCTTGATTTTGTATGCTGCCAAATGTTTGAAATTCAGCGAGTTTAAATTTGTTTTACTTTAAACTAACTTATTCTAAAAGACTAAAAATACATAGTGTTTGAAGTAAGTTAAAAGTAGGTATGGAATTTTAGAATAGAATTCAATGTCAAAAAATCAAATGTTTAGTGTTGTAAATCGTTGTTTCAGAGAAGGTAAGAATGTTATAGGAGTTTAGTGGCATATGTATCCTAATTTTTGTCGTAACTTTGATCACCAAACACTTTAGTCAACACACGAATTTTAAAAAAAAAACCCGTACTACTTTAAACAGAACTGTTAGTCACTAGCAGCAGTCTAAATAGATAACTAATCCATATACAATTAATAAATTCACCAAAACCTTGCACTCAGAACGCGGTGAGGATAGTGCGCGCCCTCTTCGAGATAACACTGCGCAAGAACAACGCGTACATGGCGGGCCTGTACCTGAAAATGGCGAAGATGCTGGAGTTGCAGCTGTGGGACTTCTACAGCGACATGCGCCAGTTCAACTGCTTCCCCAACGAGGTGCTGAAGCACATCGAGTACCCGATGCTGAAGCCAGACCAGATCAGGGACATGGATTGGAAGGAACTTGGTAAACACACACAAAGAGAGAGAGAGAGAGAAAGAGGGACTGACAGACAGACAGGCAATCAGTCTTAATAATAGAGTCCCGTTTTACCATTTGGGTACGGAACCCTAACAAGTATGTTTAGGTATTTCCAGGTACATAGTACAAGCTTTGCTTAATTTAGGGCTAGAGAACGCTGTGTGAACATTTATTTATATTCCTCTAATATTTATTTATTATTTACTATGATCTATCAGACAGTCTGTCTTACATACTTGAATAGCTAGATAAAATTGTTGTAGAAAACTAATTGTTTCCTTTAAGGCGCTATTTTCTCACGATGAATTCCATTCTCCTGTCATTGTGTAGGACTTTCAATATAAAGTACTAGCTGCTGCCCGCGACTACGTCTGCGCAGAACAGGCTGAAGGCGTAATATTCACACAGACGGACATAAATAAAATATGTATATATATTACAGCCTATGTTTCATTTTGATGTACAAGCTATATTATTGTAAAGTATGATTAAAATTCATTCAGCAGTATTTGCGTGAAAGAGTAACAAACATCCATCGACACATACAAACTTCCGCCTTTATAGAAAGTAGGACGGCGAGCCACAACCCTTTGTAGAGTTACACTCTGAAGGCCTTTATATCCTTCGTTTGCAGGCGACCTGCTGAGGAATCCGAAGGCGGCTCGCCACATGAGGAAGTGCGCCGACGAGTTCCCGCTGCTGGAGATGGCGGCCAGCCTGCACCCCATCACGAGGACAGTGCTGAGGATCCGGCTGACCATCACGCCCAACTTCAAGTGAGACCCCAACGCGGCCGGTGCTCTTTGAAGTCGAGTTGACATAGTCGGCCATGCGGCCAACTCGACCAGGGTTAACCTCTTTTTTTATGTGAAAACTTGTCAAGAGAGCAGGCGGTTCACCTGATGTTAAGTGAACATCGCCGCCCGTGGACATCTGCCACACCCGAAGGTTTTTGTAGACCTCGCGACCTTTTTGAAAATTGGGCTCCGGATACCTCACTCACCAGACGAAACGCGAAAGTATTATACTTCCACTTCACGCCGGTCTTCTGTGAGGCTGCGGTACTTACCCGGACGAGCCTGCCCATTCGTGCAACAGCCGAGGCCGCCGGGTGGCCCTACCACAGTTAACTCATGCCCGACTTGACGTAAAAAGTTGCGTTGCTAAAACTCCTCAATCCGCAATTGACTGTAGTGTGATGAGCTGATGTGTTGCCAAGAAGATGTTTAGTCCTTCCCCGTGCTTCCCATGAGAGTATTATTTACTTAACGTAGGTTTAATTTTTATTTTCTCAATATACCGCTCAAAATTTTAAACTTTAAAAGCTATAAACTGGAATCTTTGAAGGGTAGCACACAATCTAATGAAGCACCAGCTACAAGTCTGTTGTCCATTCTTTTCAATTAGATAAGACGGACAATATTTTTAGCTACTTTAATAGGCGAATTGGGATGCAATATTGTAGGTTTCGATTAGTGCAACGATAATTGGTAGCTCTACCGAAAAGTTGCCACACTAAGGAGAATATATAATAACATATAAACTTTCCACTTAGCGTCGATGAAAACCGACGATTAATTCAAAATCGGTGTACCGGTTTCTTTTTTTAATCCAGCACGTACTACGTTATAGCTGGGACTTCTAGATCTACGGTACAATTTCAACTTCGATTTCTCAGTGTAAAATAAATAAACAATGTCAGTGTCATATATATATATATATATATATATATATATATATATATATATATATATATATATATATATATATATATATATATATATATATATATATATGTCAAATAAATAAAAAAGTTTACATCCGATTGTCATTTCGACCGGACAGACAAGGACAGTCTGTCGACTCCGACTGTCGCCAGCATCTATCCTTGTCTCTCCGATCGAAATGACAATTATTATTATTATTCAGTGAAATATTTAACATTCGCTCTATCGCTGTTCCAGGTGGAACGACAAGTACCACGGCAAAGCCCCCGAAGCATTCTGGATTTGGGTCGAGGACCCGGACACCGATATCATGTACTACCACGAATACTTCCTCATCACCAAGAAGCAGGTGACGAAAGGATTTCCGTCAAACTACTTTTTAACAAGAGAACCTATTCTCTTTCTCAAATCCTCTGGTGATTTACCACTCCTTACTTTGACCCTATCCCAACTTGTAACTAGGTTTTATTACTTATAGCGGTCTTAATAGTTAAAACAGCACTCCACACGAATGACCAGCTACATCTATTTAAACGATACAGATTTTATTCAAGGCAGTAAGTAAATGGTTCAGTGATTCCCAATTAGTATTCGAATTAATGCAATTTGGTGGGATATAAGAGCTATAACCAATAAATTATTTATCTAAAATAATTTCAGGTCATCACAAACGAGCCGCAGGAGTTGGTCATAACCATTCCTATATCGGAGCCTTTGCCGCCACAGTATTACATCAGAGCAACATCAGAAAGGTAAATATTTCCAGAAAGCCCTCTGCCGTTTGTCAAAAAATATTAGAAAATATTTCACCGAGAATACAAAAATACACTTAAGAAAATACAGGAAAATATTTCTTTCAATATGTAAAGTTCTAAAATTAAAAGAAAATCTGGAATTGGGTTTTTCGAATTAAGAGTTAACATGATAAACCAAGTACTTTGAACTTTATTTTTAGTACTAGTCACAGCACATGCGCAGAAAGTTAAAATATGTAAATAAATTCCTAAAAACAAGCTTTGTGCAGAGACTAACATTGAAAACGGGAATTTTAAATCCAATAGCAAAAGCGACATCTTTATAGTTTTCAAATATTCATCGTAAAAATGAAATTTTTTCATTGTGCTTTACAACAAACATTTTCTGTGCTGTAACGGAAGCACAATAAATGGCGTCACACATTCCTAAAAATGCAATAAAAACAAAGTAGCTAAGACGTCGAAATTATCGCGCGATGATGATATATATGCGCTTAGCTCGGTGGCTTTTTAGTTTTTGGCAGGTTCGAATCTTGGCAACGGCGAATTATTTTTTGACAATATATACACATTTTAAATAAAGTACTGTTGAAAAAATTATTGTGGGTCTCTAATGTTGTGTTTGTAAATTATTTATTTAAACTGTACAACTTTAATTTACATCTCCATGATGAAGTTCAGTCTAGTCAGCCTATAAATGTCCCACTGCTGGGAAGAGGCCTCCTCTGTAAAGAGTGATTTCGGATGCGACCCCACTGCGGGATTCGACGGAATTCACATACTTTCGAAATATTTTTTTTTTCGTTATTATTTCGAAAATGTGCAGATTTCCTCGCGATATTTTCCTTCACCGCTGAGCACGTGATAATTCAGCATTTAAAATTAACAATTTCATCACTCGAGTATATGAATTAAGCGAGCGCCCGGACAATGAGCTATCACGGCTGTGGTAGTGGGTGCGCTTAAGCCGAAATATTCATTTAGTATTTTCTTCCCAGGTGGTTAGGCTCCGAAAGCGTGCTGCCTTTGACGTTCCAACATTTGATATTGCCCGAGACTCATCCACCGCACACAGGTGAGAATATATATGTATATACGCCAGTTACTAGACTCCAAAGAGTAAGTAACTCGTTCATGGGGCGATGTATACGCTTCTACAACAAAATCCCAGTAAATGCGCAAAGCCTGTCTATCGACAGGTTTAAGAAATTTATTAAGAAAACCTTCATAAAAAAGGTTATAATAATATAAATGAATACATTAATGACATCAACCCCTGGGAATGAGCTGATCGCTCCCAAGCCAATTTCTAAAAAAAAATTGTTGTATAATATTTTAATCTTGTTGTCTAAGAGGACACCTAAGAGTTTCTTTCGTCTGTTTCTTCTCCGTTAGAGAAACCTCATTAAGAAACGGTGGTACATTAAAAAAAATGAGCATCGATAGATGAAATGTATTTGTCGATGAATAAATGGTTATGATTTTTTTATTTTTGATATATCAATCTTATATATAAAAATTTTTTGCCACGATGTATGTTCGCGATAAACTCAGAAACTACTGAACCAATCTTTATCAAATTTTGTAAGCATTTGTAATTTGGTCCAACTTGGTCGATAGGGTAGTTTTTATCTCAATTATTGATCTCAATATTTGTTATTGCAAATTATTTGTTTATTAGATGACAAAGAGCTATCTGTGAGTCCCATACGATTCTAACAGATGGCGATGTAAGATGAATTTATCAGCTGAATTGAGTAAGTGTCCGATAGATGGCGATATGCTAAAAGTAGAAACGTATGGACCTGGTAGCTAGTTTTTCTATATGTTTTGCTACTGTGTCATACCTAATAAAGATGAAGAACATTACAAGCTGCCGCGTGACCCTAGCACAGCTGCATGACGTTGATATTGCCGCAGACCTGTTGGAGCTGCAGCCGCTGCCGGTGACGGCCCTGAACGACCCCTCGTACGAGATGCTGTACAGCTTCACGCACTTCAACCCGATCCAAACGCAGATCTTCCACTGCTTGTACCACACGGACAGCAACGTGCTGCTCGGCGCGCCCACCGGCTCCGGCAAGACCATTGTGGCGGAGGTCGCCATGTTCAGGGTGTTCAACCAGTACCCTGGATGCAAGGTGACCGAGATGACCCACTAGGCTTTTGTCAAAACAAGGGATACTGGGATACTCTGGATAAAAAGTACAGACTATTTTTTAATCTAGAAGGGAAGAGATGTAGATAGAATGAAATAATTGTAAAAAGATTAGTGGCGCATTTCTTAAGGTGTTGCCTTCGGCGCCTGAGGTCGTGGGTTCGATTCTCACAAGATACAACTGTTTGTGTGACCCGCAGATAATTGTTTCGGATCTGGGTGTTTGTCACGTGAAATTTATGTATGTAAGACGTCCTTACAAGAGCTAAGTGATCGGCAAAACCATTCCTAAAATGTAGACTAAACACTAGAAGGTGTTCTCACACAAATGTATCATCTTAATTTATGTTTCTCCTGTCCTTATTCCAACTAGATGAGGTTGGCAATCATGTTTTAATGGGTTTGCCTAAAACCTGCCTGGTTTTAACGACGGAAATGACGTCAACCCTCCTAAGGAACAAACACTCACATCCGGAACAATTACCTGTGGATAATACAAATACTTGTCTCGTGTCGGGAATGCAACCGACGACTACTGTGAATAATTAAAATAATTAGCATAATATTTTTCTTTTTAAATTTTTCACATTTTTACATAAAGTTTTTTCGTCCCAAACTAAGCAACGCCTGTACTATACTAAATAATTGATAAACATACTTAAACATAATTTTCTTTTGTAAATAAATACATATCATTAATATATAAACACACAGACACTGGAAAAACACTATGTTCATCGCACAAAATATTTTTCCATTAGTGGGAATCGAATCCACGCCCTCTGGCGCAAGAGGTAAGGTCACTATGTCTCAGCATTATAGTATTCTTGTAGTAGGACTAAATCATGTTAGGTTTAAGATGACATAATATTTTGCTGACGCATTGTACGCATGACGTCATCCAGTTGTGCCTCCCAGACTGATTTAGGAGTGAAATCAATTTAAGGTCGTGTACATCGCGCCGCTGAAGGCGCTCGTGAAGGAACGCGTCAAGGACTGGAAGGTACGTCTGCAGGAGAGGCTCGGCAAAAACGTCGTGGAATTGACAGGTGATTGAAATGATGAACATTACCTTATTTGCAACCTTTTTGGTGATGAATAAATGAATGACGATACGACGATGGACTATAAAATTTTTTTTTTTTTTTTTTTTTTTTTTTTTAAACAATATTTTAAATCAATCAAGAATACATATAATATGAATGACGATAAAAAATTTAGTGCGACTCTTCGCGCAGAAATGCGTGGAGAGTCGCACGACCATTCGTGCCGTTTGGAAATCGAACCCCCGGCCCCCGGCGCCGAAGCCAGTAGCTTAGCAACTTCAATATTTTTTATTTATATTTTATCACTTTTGTTTTTGATCAATGTATCGGTTTTATTTGGACTCGGGACTGTATTCCCCATTTTTAGTCAGCACCGAAAATCGGCGTTTCACTGAAGCATTCTGCTAAGTGATGTTCTTTTTGGCATGGACTGCGATGAACTATAATGAATAGGGAGAAAATATACATAATATCGGAGTTTTATGTTCGTTTTAACTGTACGTCAGTCTGTTATGTCAAACTAGCTGCTGCTCGCGACTACGCCTGCGTAAAATAGGCTGAATGCGTAAAATTCAGACAGAAAGACAGATATACATAAAATATGTATATAAATTATAGCCTATGTGCTATTCTGATGTATATGCTACATTATTGTAAAGTTTCATTAAAATCCATTCCATAGCACTTGTGTGAAAGAGTGACAAACATCCATCCATACATACAAACTTTCGCCTTTATAATATTAGTAAGGATGAATCTCTTTCTTTCTTTATTTTCCAGGCGACGTCTCGCCCGACATCCGAGCGATCCGCAGCTCGCACGTGATAGTGACCACGCCGGAGAAGTGGGACGGGATAAGCCGCTCGTGGCAGACCAGGAATTACGTGCGTGACGTCGCCCTGGTCGTCATCGACGAGATCCACCTACTTGGGGAAGACCGGGGCCCCGTGCTGGAGGTGATCGTGTCGAGGTACCTACAATAATAATACTCCGATTGCTGAACCCAAATACCCCAGCTAAGATGCAAGATGACAATCACAGAACACAAACAGCAAACTTCACAAACATAACTAGTACAGATAACATGTATGTTATGTAAACTTAAGGCTAAACAAAAGGCAAACTTAATGCTAATAAGCATTCTCTTCCAGTCAACCCTGGGAGTAGAGAATATATGTATGCTTTATTGATCACCACAAAAACTTGAAAAGAAATGATACAAAAATAAGTTACGTGGCGTATCGCCGTATTCTGAACCAAAAAAAACTGGCACAGTGTGGAGAAAAAGTCGTCAAGATAACAATAACAAAAATAATAAGTTGTAATTCCGAAGGTACACCAACTCTGATTTTCAAAAATATTGTTATATTTACAAATATTTTGAACACTGTACTTAAAACTAATGATTGCCGCATTATGATTTATAATTAATAAACCTTTTCCGAGATTTGCTTTTAAAACCGCATAAGAAGCTTCAGTAGTATAGCTTCTGGTAGTATGGGATATTAGAACATTTTGTTTATTGCACTAATATTTCAGGACGAACTTCATAGAGTCTCACACCTCGCGGCGTCTGCGCATAATCGGCCTGTCGACTGCCCTCGCCAACGCCAAGGACCTCGCCAACTGGTTGAACATCGGCGAATTGGGATTGTACAACTTCAGGCCATCAGTTCGTCCCGTGCCTTTGGAGGTGTTGTATCGAGCTTTATGGAAAGACAAACATAATGGCGAACATTTTACTGATGACTCAACGGCACCGTTGCTAAGCTATTGGCTTCGGATCGGAGGCCGTGGGTCCGATTCCCAACCGGGACGCCATTTGTATATCTGAACGGTTCAAGATCTGGGAATTCGTCCTTGTTTGATGTGCGCTGGTAAAACTCCCCTACCCTACAGAATTATCATATTCCGTAAGGAGCAATATGTTTTAGAAGTAGTGTATACCGTGAAATATCTAAAATCATCCCACATTCGTTTGATATTGAAATTTGTTTGTGCTATTTTATTTTCTTTACTAACCTCGATATTTCGCTGAACAATGCATTCGCTAACTCTAGTCGAAGGAGCTAAGGCCGGTTTCCACTGCTCGTACACCGTGCCCGTCTGTGTGCAGGTGCACATTTCGGGCCACGCGGGGCGCCACTACTGCCCGCGGATGATGACCATGAACAAGCCCACCTTCCAGGCGATCCGCACCCACTCGCCCTGCTCGCCCGCCCTCGTCTTCGTGTCCAGCCGACGCCAGACCAGGTGACCATAAGCCGTCTCTGTCTAATCTCAACCCCGAAGTGAGACAGCCTATCATTACCATTCAAATCAAATCAGATACTTTTATTCAGTATAGAAGCATTACACTTACTTATTGATTGTCAAGACGCTACCACCGGTTCGGAAAGAAAAGCCACTGACATGGGACGAACCGGCGAAAGAAACTCGGCTGGACTTTTTTTTACCACTAATTATCATTAATCGGATTAACGTCAAAACGTCTGTCTCTGTCATATTGCAACAGCATTGAGACAGCCTTATCATTACTGCCTTCTCTTTGCTAATCGCGTTAATGTAAAAACGAATATGGTTGTCTTTGTCTAGCCCCAACACTGAATAGAGACAGCCTATGATTACCGCCTTCTAATCACTAAACGGGATAACGTCTAATCGAACTAAATCTGTCTCTGTTATATCCCAATGGCGTATTGAGACAGCCGTATTATTGCCTTCTCGTCACTTATCGTGCTAATGCCAAAACGAATAAGACTATCTCTGTCTAGACCCAACGGCGATTTGAGACAGCATACTATTACTGCCTTTTACTTACTAATCTCGCTAACGTAAAAATCAACTGAGGACATCTCTATCTAGCCCCAATAAGGCTAGGATACTAACATTACCTATACATTACCTTCTAATTAATAATCGCGTTAACGTAAAAAAAAAACGAACTAAGGCTGTCTTTGTCTAGCCCCAACAGTGCTTTGACACAGACTGTCATTACTGCCGTTGCCCCTTTAGCCCCAATGGCGAATTGAGACCATCAATCATTACTGCCTTTTAGTTATTAATAACTAACGAGATTAATCTCGTTAACGAATAATCAACTAAGGCCTTCTCTGTCTAGCTGCAACGGCGCATTGAGACAGATGGAAATATTTTTTTAATTCGGTTTATTATTAATTACACCAAAATTTTTTTGAGCTCAGGCTTACCGCACTCGACCTAATCGCCTACCTGGCGGCGGAGGACAACCCGAAGCAGTGGCTGCACATGAAGGAGTCCGAGATGGAACAGGTCCTGGCCAACATACGGGAGTCGAACCTGAAACTGACCCTAGCCTTGGGATCGGCATCCACCACGCCGGCTTACACGAGAAGGACCGAACCACTGTCGAGGAGCTATTCGTCAACCAAAAGATCCAGGTTTGCTCATTTCTCGGGAACATATTTTTGATTCTCGACAACCTCGGGTAACAGGAATGGACATTTCCGTCAGTAAGTACCACGACTTCACAGAAGACCGGCATGAACTGGATGGAAGTGTCACATTTTTTTTCGTCCGGTAATTGAGGTAGCGGGGGCCCTATATGTATGTTTATTTTTATTTATAAACCCAACCAGACGAGATAAAGTGAATATTCCCCAATAAAAATAATAGATTTTTATTGATTTAAAATCACAAATAAATTTTGATCAGATTTTAGACAAAAAGGTCTGGTTAAGCTTTGTTACACACATTGTGCACAATGCTGATATTCTACCCTAGCCTGACAACTAAAAAAACAATAAAACAACGATTAACAATAAAATTAAAATACTAGAAGACACAAAAATAGTAATAATAATAAAATGATAATAACAATAGTCAAAAACTTCACCATAAAATTAAAACATGCCAAAAACTCAATATAATAATTAGTGTCCGACCGAAACTGGTTTATAACCGAAACCGAAACTTCTATAAAAGGATCATGTTTTGAGGGAAAAATAAGTATCTTTGTATCATATAGTTATGCAGTCATCGACATTTTCACTTGTTGGTATGATAATCAACTTAACAACCCCATTTAAGAAAAAAATATTAATGGCGCCTTAAAAAGACAAAATAGGTGACTTAATATAGGTTTATTTGAGTAGTTAGATTCTTCTTTTGAATATTATTCATTATCATTTTAAATATTAAACATAAAATTATCTATTTAAGTTGTTACCTAATATCAGAACAGGCTAACATTTAAGTAATAAAGAAAACAAAATAAATTAATTTTAACAAATCACCTTCCTCTAAACTTATTACTGGTCATTTTCTATGACTTTCAGTAAACAATAACAAAAATGTAAAAGCCGACAATAATATCAGAGCCACTTTTCTCAAAGAAGTTTCGCTTCCTTAAATTTTTGTGTGACAATTTGTGGACAGTTGCACGTAAGGACAGATATATTTTGCAGCTTACCAATAACAACATCAGAATTTTACTTGATGCTTAAGGTTTCTTTTTTTGTAAATTTATTAATTTGCAATTGTATAAAGCGTTTTTATTAATGAGTCAACTGTCAGACGATTGAGACTCGTTGAACGTCGCAGCTTCAAATAAAATCCGTTCATTCATCCAAATTGACGTTGACGAATAATAAATATCATCTGCAATGTAACTAATTCCTTACCAAGACGGTACCGGAAAGCTATTGCTGCATAAATTAAAAATTATAATTTTTTGAACTGGGATAGTACATTCTTAGAAGGGGGCAGAAAATCCGAATTTTTCTTCCATTGTACAGCAATTTGAACTTTTTTTATATTATGTCAAATACTATTACTATGTTTTTTTAACTTAATGACTGCATGGCAATTCAATTACTAAAACTAAATTTGCATGCTGTTAAACAGCTAAATAGGTTAAAGCGACAGACATGTACTTAAACATCTTTGTAACCCTATTTATGGCAAATAAATAATTGAATTTGAATTTGAATTTGGTTTTAAGGTGCTTATTTGCACGGCGACCCTGGCGTGGGGCGTGAACTTTCCCGCACACCTGGTGGTGATCAAAGGAACCGAGTACTTCGACGGCAAGCAGAAGAGATACGTTGATATGCCCATCACTGACGTGCTGCAGATGATGGGCAGGGCTGGAAGGCCGCAGGTTGGTACACACCTCATACGGCGGCTCAGCTTTAAAGGTGAAACTGAGGTTCGTCTGAGTAGCGATCGGATACGGAATAGGGCAACACATTATTTATAGGTGTCAAAGTAGTGGCCACAGCGAGGCGAGAGTAATGCCCTCTCGTTCTCATCGCGGTCTTACGTCGCTTTCCGTCTCACTCTTTCGCGATTCCCGCACTAGACAGTACATGCGTTCGTGGCCGTAAGGTTATATCCGAAAGAAAACATTTAGCAAAAACAACAAAGTCCAATACAACACGTCTGTCAGCCCACTCAAATATTTTTTTGCTCTGTTTCTTAGTATTTATAGCGTGACCAGAAATACATCATGTATGAAAATTTCAACTGTCTAATATCCACGGTTTATGAAATGGTTTATGGTGCCAAACGACGGACAGATAGACAGACAGACTGATAGGGGATAGTCTTAGTGATATGGTCCCGTTTTACCGTTTCGGGTACGGAACCCTAAAAATCCATTTTCCCCTCAGTTCGACAACGAAGGAGTCGCAGTGGTGTTGGTGCACGACCAAAAGAAGAACTTCTACAAGAAGTTCCTGTACGAGCCCTTCCCCGTTGAGTCCAGCCTGCTGGAGGTGTTGGCCGATCACTTGAATGCAGAAATCGTTGCAGGTAATAAAACGGATAAAATAGTAGAGAATTAGACTGAAGTCGTTCATTTGAAATGGAGTCTTATTGTAGGGCTGATAAGAATGAAGTTTGACTGAGCCTAATCAAACTACATGCTAGTTCGTTGCAAGTTGGTGTACCTTATAAAGTTGTCATTCGGTTTTGTGAATATTTTTTAAACGTTTAATGTTTGTATTGTAATTATGAGAAATTAATCGATCCTCGCAGTCGATGGTACAAATGCAGAATTGTTTGTGATGATTTTACTCAGGCGCATTTAATCACACTGCTAGACAGTAATATCCTTTGCATATTAGGCCATACGTAGTCCCCCTAGCAACCTCCATTTCCTATATTATTTACATAAAAACGACAAATTGGTAAATAAACCTTAAATTTATGGATTTATCGATTTTATTTCCTTCGAAAGTTTCGAATACTTTGTCGCGTTCATTACGTCGGGATTTTTCATTCACAATAAACACAATATATCCGTAAAATAATTTCATTTATTAATCATATTCAGATTCCCGATATGATGTTTTCATTCACCGAAAAGCGCGTTGTAAATTGACACTTACAATTAAATTTATTCCGGCATCTGGATTGGAACTCAGTGTGCTGAATAGAGCGACCGCCCGACCGCTGAGCTACCGCGACTAAATATGGTTCCTTTTACAAAGTGTTCTAAGCAATGTGATCTTCTAGAAACTGCCTCGTCCACAGGCACCGTGCAGACGAAGCAGGACATCCTGGACTATCTCACCTGGACCTACTTCTTCCGTCGCCTGCTCAAGAACCCCTCCTACTACAACCTGGAGAGCTTGGAACCGCAGGACGTCAATTACTACCTCTCGAGCCTGGTCCAAACCCGACTGGACGCTTTATTGAACGCCAACTGCATTGAAATTGAAGAGGTTAGTTTACATTGCCCTCCCTTAAGGATAACATTGTCCCGTCTTGTAAGGACTTTTAACAAATATAAATTTACTATGATATTAATATACTAATATTACTATTAATGGACTAACTACCAGATGCGAAACAATCATCTGTGGGTCACACGAATAGTTGTCCCGTGTGGGAATCGAAACCACGACCCCCTCTTGAATGGTAGATGTGGCTAATGGGATCACTTTCAAGCCAAAAAGACACTTAAGGACTGATAAGAAAACCATTTATTTGAACTTAAACATTTTGAACTTATTTTAGACACAAACGTAATGATTATGAAATTTATATAAAATACAGGAGTTATGTCAGATAGCTAGACATGTTACTTCTCCAAACGATGTTTACGGAATCAATCAATTATGACACAATTCAGTCTGAACAAATAAAACTAACATCCCAAATTTAAAGTAATTCAAACATAATACATAAATCAAACAGGTCAGAGTTGACACCAAAAGAGTATGTATAATCTGAGATTACCAATCAACACCCCCGACGCCGAAGCCAATACTTTGGCAACTGCGCCACGGAGCTTTATACTGGACTTTTTCTCAATCGTTCATGATGGCAACTAAATCTTAGTTTCTTTTATTTCTTTAGTTAAACTGAGGTATGGCCACGCAACATCTTCGGATGTTGTATGAATGGAAAGGTCCGTCCGGGTAAAAGCCTCTTTATGTACTTTACCCGACTGTCGAAGGAGGGTTTTTTTAATACTTTAGCTCGCTTTACAACCCGAACCTTTTGACAGATTTCAACATAATATGAATTGTCATTGCATTCATCTCAGTTGTGGTAGTGACGTAGGTTATTTCAATTTCGATGTGGTATCGTCGAAACATTAAAATAGGGTATCGGCGTAAAATTAATTAAAAAAAGCACAACGTTGCTGATGATAACTGACAACTGGCAACCTATGTATAATGTAAACTGTAATTTGACGTTCAGTTTTAGTAGTATATGTGTATTAATTATAATTATGTATTATGTATTAAGAATTATTCAATTACTTATTTTAGTATGTAAGTTAATTTTCATTGTACACACCTACCTATTTTCTTTTGATTACTTATTTACTTTTAATTATTACGAAAGGTTTGCTGGCAGAGAACTCTGTTTAGGGTTAAGCTCGCCTTTGTACAGTCTTTTTTGTAATCCTTTATTTGTAACTGTATTTTTTTTTTGTGTACAATAAAGAATAAGAATAAGAACGTTTTTTTTTAATTTTACGTCAGCTGGCTGTTCACCCGATGTTAAGTGATAACCGCCGCCCATGGACATTTGCAACACCCTTAGAGTTGCAGATGCGTTGCCAGCTTTGGACCCCGGCTCCCTCACTCGCAGTTCAATACAGACTGATTTTCCATTTTGACGACCCAATTGGCGTGGGGAGTAGTGACCCTGCCTCCTGCGCCAGAGGGTGTGGGTTCGATCCCCACTACTGGAAAAATATTGTGTGATGAACATCGTGTTTTCCAGTGTCTGGGTGTTTATATATGAATAATACGTATTTATTTACAAAGGAAAAGTATGTTGAAGTAGGTTTATCAGTTTTCTAGTACCCATAGTACAAGCGTTGCTTAGTTTGGGACTAGAAAATGTTGTGTAAGAAATGGCCGAAATATTTAATTTAATAGTTCACTCTTGTCCCATGTCCTCGAAGGACGAACGGACAGTGCACAGCACGTGGATGGGCCGCATCGCGTCTTACTACTACCTATCGCACAAGACGATGGCACACTTCAGCTCGCGTCTGCACCCCAGCCTCGATGCTGACGAGCTGCTGAGGGTGCTCGCCGATGCCGAGGAGTATGCGACCCTGCCCGTCAGGCACAACGAGGACGTGATAAACGGGTGAGGATTACAGCAACTGGTCATACTATTGCTTGGCTTAATAACGCAGTAAAAAAATAGGTCGTATAAATAATAGACTTCTCACATAAAAAATAAACAGTTAAGGGTGCTTTGGCAGGGAGCTATCACAGCAGTGCCGACTGCCCGTGGACGCATTGGCGCTGGACTCGTCGCACGTTAAAGCGCTTTTGCTGCTGCAGGCGCACATGACGCGTCTCCCGCTGCCCAGCGCCGACTACCTCACCGACACGAAGTCCGTTCTCGACCAGGCGATACGTATCCTCCAGGTGAAACAGTTGAAAATCTGTATTAATCAAATTATACAGGTCTGTGATTACGTGTTGTAACGACCTATTAATAATAATAAATATTATTATTAATTAGTCATAATAAAGATCAATTAAGATGAAAATAAAACGTTTAAGAACGTTTAATCACAATAAAAGTTAATAATATATACTTAAATTAAAGAAATATAAGTGTTAGTATGAGAAAATGATATTACCAAAAATTGATAAAAAATAGTTAAAAATCACTTAAAATACTCAAAAAAGGATATTTATTAAAAATATAGCAAGATACGATCACTATTATGTCCATTAAATACAATTCCATACTTAGTGATTTCTAAGGGAAGTATTATGTACCGTGCGGGGACACATTTGTATGACCGCACATATGTAAGTACAGAGGTCGATCGCGACTCTTAGTACTATAGTCAAAGTACATTGTATGAACGTCCCATACCAATATCATATGGAAGTAAGGTCTAATGGATAAAAGTAATAATATGTGAAGGCTCAGAGGAAAAATAATGAATATATAAATATAATGAAGAGCAATGAATGACTTGGGACTTTATACGACATATTACTATGGAGTTGCGTGGTACTTCTGTACGACGATATGGTCTACGGTAAACGTGGAACCATGAATGGATATGTCTTCAGTGGTGGACATATCATCGATAGCTGGTGGTAGTTGGCGTCTTAGTGACCATCACTATGATACGTTGGCTGTCATTCGGCATAGTAAGAGTTTGGTGGTAGTTGGCGTCTTAGTGTGTTGCACTATGATACGTCGACTGATCATCTGACTTTGGGGAGTCTGGTGGTGGCTTGCGTCTTAGTGTATTCCACTATGATACGTTGGCTATTACTTGACTGGGGTGGGGGTCCGTTGGTGGTTGGCGTCTTAGTGTTTACGCTATGATACGTCGACTATCATTCGGATCGTGAAAGAGTATGTTTGGACACTTCGTGTGTTCCGAGTATATTCTAAACTTTGGAGCTGAAGTTGATTGGAGTTGTATTGGTGTGGTGTGAGGGTGTGCCACCTACGCGATAGTCACATTGATGCGTGCGGCTATATGCAGTAATGCGTCTTGTGGTATTTGCGGGGTGATCTGCGCCTAATATCATTGCATCGTATGATTCTGGTTGACGGAGGTTCGAGGTGATGATGTCTGCTGTGTATGCGGATAGGCTGTATGTTGGCGTGTTGACCTGCGATAGTTGTATTGATGCATGTTGCATTTGGTGACATTGCGTCTTGCGACATTTGCTTGGGAGACGACGCTATTCATAATGGCCGAGTCTGCGTCTCGGTTTGATGCACATCTCAGTAGATTTGTCCAAGTCGGGTTCCTGATGACGGAATTGCAGACTGTCTGACCTCTTTATACGTTTTATCATTATTAACGAATCTCAGTAAAGTTCCCACCCTTCGAACGAATAATGGCAACTTGCTGGTGGGTGAGACAAACTTGATCGAAAATACATTATACTCAACGTCAGAGACACTGACAAATAATTATATGTTGCCAATTATAAACCCTTCTGATGGCTAAACATAAAAATCACAACTATGGCTATATCTGACTATTTCAATGGTTGGTGGAGCATATGCGTTTACCTCATGTGGATGGTAGCTGGCGGGAGAAAACCTCTCAAGGCTGCGGCGATGCCGTGCAACGTTTTAACCATACCCTTGGGGCTACGCGCTCTGCGACGAAATGTCGTGCTAACCTTTTTAATGGTGGTGATGCCAAAACACTAACAATCACGTCTGCAGTCGCGGCGATCTGGCAAAAGTGGTGGCGCTTACGGAGGGCTTATTATATCATAGGGCCAGAGTGCCTGATCTTTAACACATGCCCAAAACCGTATTGACGTACATTCACGAAGACTGGATTTGTCGTCGGCTTGTATGACGTTACACGCATTGACATGCGCGACTTCGGTCAAAGTTTGTGCTTACGCACTGCCAAGGGGCCAAGCCCTCTTTATGCTGGTAAAACAGCTTTGCAATGGACTTCGGTCCTTTCCCCAACTTTTTGTCCCTCTTCTGGGGGGGGGGGGGGCGCAATATGTTGGTTGGCGCTCACCGCACACGGCGTTGGTGATTGTTTTCATGGAGCCGTGTGCCTTCCCTACATTTTTTTAAAATGTGGGGGAGCTGTTGACTTTTATCGGGTATGTAAAATTGATGTGAGCCCTTTTCAAGAGAGAAGGGATATTAGTTCAAAATTAAATTGTGAGCCCTTTACAAGCGTGAGAGGGAGTATACTATATACTCTGAGCCCGTCTCAAGCGAGTCGGGATTAGTTGTTAAGAAAGCAATCTGACATTATCTCTGGCTTATACCACGACTAGTGAATATTTATCTATCCAAGATACACCTAAAAGAATCAAGTTACTAAATAAACACAACGTAAATAAGGTCCTACCGAACATGACGATCACAATAATATTTATACGGCTAATTATTACCTTTAGAAAGATCCTATAGAAAGATCAATAATTTATCCTGGTCACGTAATGATGTTATATGATTTATTCATATAACGGGGCAAGGAAAATATATATAAGTTTATTTATATATACACAATAAAGGGGGGTGCTAGTTACAGTGTGCATGGAGAAAAAAGTACTACGTTATTCTACTCTCTACTACTCAACTACTATCACGCAAAATACAATACAATCTTCGACATCGGGGACTTACTATCCAATCACTTCCACACGAAACACAATACGATACAAAATTCGACATCGGGGACTTACTGCTCAACCACTTCCACACAAAATACAATCTTTGACGTCTGGGGCTGCTAACCAATCTTTGACATCTGGAATATACTACCCGAACCCTTCCACACAAAATACAATACAATACAATCTTCGACATCGGGGACTAACTATCCAAGCACTTCCACACAAAATACAATATGATACAAAATTCGACATCGGGGACTTACTGCTCAACCACTTCCACACAAAATACAATCTTTGACGTCTGGGGCTGCTAACCAATCTTTGACATCTGGAATATACTACCCGAACCCTTCCACACAAAATACAATACAATACAATCTTTGACATCGGGTACTTACCAATCTTTGACATCGGGTACATACCAACCTTCGACATCTGGAACTTACTATTCAACCACGCCCACGCAGAATACAACACAACCCAATCCCCGACAGGCGATGGTGGACACGTGCGCGGAGAGCGGCTGGCTGGCGGCCTGCCTCTCGTGCCAGCTGCTGATGCAGTGCATAGTGCAGGCGCGCTGGCCGGCCGACTCGCCGCTGACGGCGCTGCCCCACGTGGAGCCGCGCCACCTCCACCTCTTCTCGGCCCTGTGCCGGGACACGGGCAAGCCGTGCGTCCACCCCGACGGGCTGAAGGCGGCCTGCGCACGCTCCTACGAAACGCTCGCCAAACACCTCAGGCGAGAGTTCGAGGAGCCGCAAATAGAGCAGATACACCGGGTGAGGGCTTCGATTCGATACACTTCTTCGGATTTTTTTTTTTTTTTCAAAAAACGTTTATTGAGGACAGTAATTAAAACTCAGTTTTTATTTACGCTAACAAAACGAAAAACTCGTTTAAAATCTTTGGGGCTTTCGCAAAATTGCATTTAGGGTCGTTTAGGTTTGATTTCATCTTGATTTTAGGGCCATTATGAGTAAGTCTAAATTAGACAGTGCAACCAAAAAGTGCACTAATTTAAAATTACTTTTTTCGTTCTGATTATTTTATGCAGATTTCATGATAGTTAGCACTGGTTTTTTATCTCGCTAGTTATTTTTAAAAACTTATTAATGAAGAATTAAGGCCACGCTATACTATATATAGGCTTTCCATAACTAACACGTATTCGCTCGCAGGTGATTTGCGACCTTCCCACGCTCGACTTAAAGTTCTTTATCCGCGGACTGTGGTTCGATTGCGACTGCGAACAAGACAGGCGTATGCCGCAGCCGCCCCCGAGGGACTTTTGGATGCCGCTACACGCCGAACAGGTGAAATTTACGGAAGAAGAAAATATTTTATTTAAAAATCTGTTATTTTTTTTATTTCCTGACAAATCGAATGAAATTTCATTTAAATATTGTTTTTTTTTGTTTTCAATAATTAGCAATTCACAAAACTACTTTCCTACTAGATCACTTTAGTTTCCTTTGAAACTATAAATCAAATTTTCCATCTTGTATACTCATTAAGAATGTATTTAATTTTTTTTTCCCCATAGTAAATGTAATAACGTAGTTCACTACTTACTACTAGTTAACGTAGTTACTGTTATTACTCTGCAGGTAAAAATAGTAAAGTTTATTTAATAAAAATAAACTTAAAATCGTGTGTGCTGTGTCGGTGTGTGTGCGTGCACATGCGTGTGTACTTATACGTAACTTATACATCTACAGGCAGAAGGTATACTTCGTTAGCGTAATTAAAGAAACTAAAAATCTCGCTAATGTGTCGCGCACCTTAACAATTCACTCCCATAGTTTTCCAAAACCAAAGTAGTATATAAAGTGAATGAAGTGAAATGAAACGTCTGTCGCGTCAGGATTACACGCTGGTGATAGAGATGCAGAGGCGCGGCGGCAACCCGAACAACGTGTTCTGCCCCCGATTCCCGCGCGGCAAAAACGAGGGCTGGTTCCTGACCCTCGGCAGCGTGGAGCGCGGCGAGCTCGTCGCCCTGAAGCGAGCCCCGCCGCAAGGGACGGCGCAACTGGCTTTCACCGCGCCCCCACATCGAGGTCGGTTGATATTTTTTGTTTTATGTATCGATACTTTCAGTCGATAATATTTGGATCCGATACATCGATTTATTGATACACAATATAGAAATTGTATCAAAAACTTATTATATGCGACTTCCAAGAAGGTTGCATTAAACGTTTAACTCTACCATGTTGGGAATATGAAAGCACCGTTGCGTTAAACGTTCAACGCTCCTGGGGAGGGGGAATAGAAAGATACAGAGCTAGAGTAAATGCGTGGCACTCGAAGTTTCACTTATTCCGCGCGACTCCACGTTTTTTTTTTTTTTTGTTTTTTTTTTTTTTCAAATTCGAATCCGGCACAATATCAAAATTCGGCAAATATTTAATACTTGATACATCTTTTTTTCGGACCTTAAAAGAAAATATCTATTTTATCCCGATATGTCAAGGCCGATATTGATATTTTTATAAATATCGATATATTTCTTCACTTTCGACATCCCTAATTCAACATTTTTTGTCTGTTATTTTTTTTGTGAGATGATAGCAAACTAGCTGGCGGTTCACCTGATGTTGAGTGATGACCGCCACCCACGGAAATTTGCAACATCCGATATAAGCTTACAAATGCTACAAATGATTTCAATAAAATAGGCCACGGTTACTCACACTCACCAGATACGCAGAAGTATAACACTTCCACTTCTCGCCTGCCGTCTGTGAGGTCGCGCAGCTTCCCCAGACTGACCTGCCCATTTGTGCAACAGCGAAGACACATTCAGAGGAGTGATTTTTGACGTTCAATAAGAGTATTGATCGTCAAAAACCTACCACCGGCTCACTAACCTAGACCTGTCCAGAGAAGTGAGCAAGCAACTCTGCAGGTGTATATATATATGCAAGTACCGCATATAATACCGTAGTAAATTAAATAAGTAGGTAAAAATTATGAAGGCATATTCACAGGAGATTTTATATGGACAATACAAGTCAAATCAGTCTAGTAACACGTAAAACATATTTCTCTTTGCAGTGATTAGCTTATCTACTTCATGGCAATTTATTTATATAACTTGGATTAATTAAACTTATTTAAGTTTAATCCAAGGCACAAACAAGATGAATAACCTCAGCCACTACCTCTACATTAGTAAACTTGCAGCTTTAGTGTAAAATTACATCACACCACACCTCAGTTAAAAAGTCCCTAGGATTGCTTAATTTGAAACCAATGAATCAAAAGACTTGTTCAGTACACAACATTTATTTTTTTATAACAAAAAGCCACAGAAGCAACAACCTTATATCAAACTATAAATCCAAATCTCAATCAACAACCGAATATTATTATTATAACTATACACAACTAAGTGAATTATCAGACAGAGTAAATGAACATTATTTATATGTAAACATAATTACTAGTAACTGTTGGGATAGTATCAGCTGTCAATTATTTTCAGTCCAGAAAATGCAAATTGTATTCTAAACTACCCCTGCCCTAAGATACCAATACCACTGGCTGAGCAAGCTGAGCATATCACTGCTCAAGCAAGATATGAATGCATATAAGCTGTTATATTTAATTATTTTACAACTAGAATCAATAAAATTACAGGTTTGTATATACTGACACAGGCAAAACGCAACATTAATAGCTATTTATCACCTTACCTATTTATTGTTTTATCAAATCAGAATTATTAATTCTTCACCAACTGACCATCCAATTTTTTTTCGCAGGTCGCATTATATACACAGTGTACATATTTAGTGACAGTTACTTGGGTCTAGATCAACAGTATGACCTAAAGTTTGAAGTTCTTGACCCATTACCCCCACAGAGAGTTGATATTGTTTATGAACCAGCTGAGAAGATTATAATAGAATGAATCTATTAATAAAGTTATTTTTTGTTACTTAGAGTTTTATTACCCTTGGTTAATGAGATCATTTAAAAGTTTTAACTTATTTGTTAATTAATTGAATGTTCTCTTTTCAATGTTATAATTTTTAATTTAAGGCAGCTTATATTTTAATGGCTTAGGAAATGACTAAAAATGTGTTATTCTGCAAAAGACTAAGAAAATTAAAACAAAAAAGACTGATATCTTCTGAATATCTTTATAGACATTTATATGACAAATATTTACAAATAATAATAATAATCTATTCATTTTGAATACCTACTATAAAGGTTAATATTTTACCTTTATAATTATGAAAAATATAGTTTGGATATATTAAATGAAAAGTTTTATATCAATACATAATGTATGCAAAAGTGAGTGTTGAGTGAGTAATTAAAATTGCAATCCGATTCCATGACATGTGTACCACATCAGGGCAGGTATTTGACTATAAAGATTTTAACTTATGTCAATATATAATTGCATAATACCCTACAATAAAATGTAAAGATTAAATACTCTTTTGCTTTTAGGTATTTAGAGAAGATATTAAATTTTTATTTTATTTGAATATTTTCAATGATAGATATTTGATAGCAATGTCATTAAAATTGTCATTGTTTATAATTATAAAAGCAAAACCTTTAGACAAATTTTTATAATAGATTAATATAACATTTATATCTAAGTAACTGCTATTATAATTTACAGTTTTTACATCACAATGTGTAGCTTTTACTATTGAATTTCTAATTGAGATTTTTATGTTGGAAAGCTTATAAAAATGGAGATTTTTATACATTTGACAACAAGTACAAGCTAGAAGTATAGATTATCAATTAGTATTTATATTAAAAAAGGAACCTATATTTTTACCATATAGCACTCAAACAATATCAAATATTGTTGGAGTGTCTGCAATATGTTATTTCTTCTTCTTCTCATGCTCTATAGCTCGTGCTTCTGATATGATCTGCCTCTCCCTTGTCAGAATCCCATCCAGTTGCTCAGTGAAAGCATCAAAGGAAAATTTTGTCTCAAACCTCTTTCTACCAGCCTCTCCCAGTTTTTCAACCAATTCTGGTGCCCAAATAAGCTTACACATAGCTCTAGCAAATGCTTCACTGTTTGCTTCACACAGGTATCCAGTAACATCATTCACTATCGTCTCTGTTGGTCCACCACTGTTTACCGCAATAACTGGCTTTTTGTAATACATTGCTTCTAAAGGAACTATACCAAAATGTTCATTGGATGGAGTGTAGATTAGGGCCTTACAATGATATAGGAGTGAAACTTTTTCAGTATCCTTAGGAGACTTCATAAATGTAATTTTGTCTTCAATGTCCAATTCAGCAGCTAGATCAGTTAACTCAATGTAATGCTCCATGTTCTCTAAGTTAATTGGATCAAAGCCACCAGCCATTATTAAATGTATTCTACCCCAGTCAGATTCACTTAGAACATGTTTTAAGTGCTCCAATGCTCTAAGAGCCAATTGCAGGTTCTTTTTCCTTTCATATCTATTAATAGATAGAAAAATAAACTTGTCTAAACCCACTGGGACAACTTCCTTCAGAGGTTTTGGGACTGTAGTGTTAAAGAATTCAGTATTGATAGAGGGGTAACATATGTCAGGAATATCTTTAATTTTTTGAAAAGCATCTTGGTAAACTCTTGCTGTGTACTTGCTATTTACCAAAACCTTATCAGCATGGGCAGTTGTTAGTTCTTCCAGCCAGTTTAATGGAGCTCTATACAATTTCTTTAAAAACCCACCTTCTGTTGTCAAAAGTTTATCAGGATGATGACAATAAAATACAACTCTGAATGGCCCTCTTGCCATTTTCAAAAATGGGATACATAGAGATATGAGATCACAAAATATAAGAGTAGGCTCTTCTGCTGGTATGACATACCAAGCCAAATAAACTGCAGCATAAACCATTCGAACGTAAGCGCAAGCCGCTTTAAATCTCCCGAAAATAGACCGTGGAATCCAATCTCCGACGACTGTTACAGGGAACGTACCATTTCTAGTCTCTGCGAAACAATGTGTGGGATCATGATGATTTGTATAGAAACTCACTTCGTGTCCTTTACTTTTGAAGGCTAATGCGGCATCCAACACAAGACGTTCTGCACCGCCGATACCTAAGTCTGGATGAAGAAATATGATTTTCACCATGTTCTATGTTTCTATAAAAATATTCTTTATATCTACAACACCTTTTACTAGATTTATAGAATGATTGTTTCTTCGATGTTTTCGCTATACAGTCAGAGCTTACGAGCTGTCTACCACATCTGTCAAGTCAAGTTTTGGACGTCAACTTCACCAGTACCTAGGGATGCCGGAAGTAGAAAAAATATCGATATTTATAAAAACATCAATATCGGCCTCGATATATCGAAAAAAAATATCGATATATCGGTCAAATTTTCGGTTTTAAATAAATAATATATTTAGTTCAGTCTGATTCAATGATAAGTTATATTTTTTTTAACAAATTCACATTTATTTTAATGAATGAGAAATTTTAATAAAACATTATTTATTTATTAATTTTAATCAAATTCTTTTACAAAGCTAAATTTCTAGGTATATTATTTATCCAGAACTTCATTGGAAAAAAACAAACAGCTTATTTAGTAAGACAAATCAGTTTCTATAACCCTGAATCGAATCAAAAAATAAGTAATAAAAAACATGTAACTTTGTAAAATAAACATAAAGAATTGTTTAAAACGAAGTTAATAATGGGTCAAAAAGAAAGCGGCAGTGACTTGAGTGACCTAAAAGACAGGCCTAGATCAACAGAATTTTGTAATAGTTGTTTGATTGACACGAAAATGCTGAACGACAATATAAAGACGTTACTTATGTGGTTAAATGATAATAATTTTTATGACGTCAAATTTTTTTTTTATGAAAACTCGATATTATATTATGTGCCATTTAATTATTGAGAATTTGATTATAATTAAATACCATGTTGTATCTAAGATATGAATAGTATAAAGTACGAAGCATCAGTTAGTATAAATACCATAATTATAGTACAAAATGTAACTCTGCATCCGTGACAATACTAGTAATAGACCACAGTTTTCTTCGTTCATTTTATCTTTTACGGATTTCAATTTATTTGAATAAAAATATCGTTTTTGATACGATTTCGATATTCAATTGCTTATATCGATATACCGGATCAAAATATAGCGGACAAAAATATCGACATTTTTCAAAAAAAAAAATATCGATATTTTTTATCCCTACCAGTACCATTCAGGCTCAGGACCAGTATATATGTCTCTATGGTCAACTTGTCACTTGACTGACTTGCTTGTTACTTTTAAAAGTTTAGAAACAACAAGGGACAATAAAATGAAAGGAAATAAAGGCAATAAACGACATTGCTCTTTTATTGATGCAAAATTAAAAAATACCGCAAGCCTTTGGAGCATTGTCGGAAAAAATAACGGGCTCAGGACTTTTTTCTAAGAAATTATAAAAAAGCATTCGAAATTTCGCCGATCTATGAATATAATAGATAATGCTGATAACTGTTTGAGTTGGGTTAATTGGACACTGATGAAAGAGCACGAGTGAACCAAGACTGACCTTAATTCGGTATCTTTGTTCCCACTTTATCATTGAAAAATACCCACATGCAGTTACTTATTCGAATAGATATTTCGATTATGTAACTGCATGTGAATCAATCTCCTTGTTTACAAAAAAAACAAAAAAATAACAAATGTAATTAATAATTAATCAAATAAATTATGTACACATTTTAATTATCAGATTTTCATTATGAATATAATAAGGTTATTTATATTATATTATTTTCTATTCATATGTATTACATTATTATTTATTCAACATTCGTAAACTTAATAAAATATATATTGGTGATATAGGTAATTTAAAATCATCTTCAAAATATATTTAACTAAGGTATCGTTATATTATATTACGAGTATTACAATATCACAATTTTACAAATTTAATTATCACGATACTACTATACTATTACAATCTTAATTTTGTTTTTTATTATAATATAAGGTATAAATGGAGAATGCTATACTAAAAGTGACATGCAAATACGATAACATTTGATTTTTTCAATAAACAATTATTAATTACATTTAATTATAAAATTGAATTGCACATAATTTTTTTCCATTAAATTAACATAAACATTAAAATTTAAATACACATTAAATTTATAAAACAAATATTTAGAACATTTTCCAATACGACTGTGGTGAAATGAAGCTCCAGCGATCAGGAGGTCTCTCTTCCCTGCCGGAACGAGTGCGGTAATAATGGTTAGCATAAGGTAAGCGATCAGATGAATGCGAACAATGAAGTTGTGGCGGGGTACTGGAGCCGTGTGGAGGACCAGCGCTTGGGAAGCATATTGTTTTCTACACAAATGTCATCGTATTAGGTGCTAAACTTAGATGACTCATTGTCACGCGTGTTTGAATTGGGTTGATTGGACACGTTAATGAAAGAGCACGAGTAAACCAAGACTGAACTTTATTCGGTATTCTGTTCCCACGTTATCATTTACAAATACCCACATGCAGTTACATGATCGAAATACCTACAATAACTTGCACAAATATAATTTCATTCTTAGTTACATCACCGCCAGATAACCCGCTGCCTCTTAGAACAGGAATAGAAGCCCAAACCCAAATGAATTAATGTCCGCCGTTGTCTCACCTTGTTTAGCGAAGCACGCAATACAGCACTCTCGACAGCAATTATGAGGATCCCGATTAACAGACTGCACACGAACACATGATACCCCCGTGTACCAAATTACTTTTTAATCCCTTACATTTTGTTATTGTTACCTAATAGCGAGGGTACATGTGATATTTTTTTCGTTATCGCGAATTGATTATTATTTTTTTAACACACTAATATTCAAAAATAAATTGTATATATAAATGATTTAGTTTGACGTCTGTATGCATTGTGATTAATTAGTAGTATCCATGTAGGTTCTACAATCGATTGCGCTCCAAGACGAGCTTCGAAGGTAAATTGTAAATAACTTTAACTTTGGCGTAATTTAATTAAAATAAATTTTAAAAGATAGAGAAGAATCACTAATGAATTTATCAACAAGTAGAATTCGGCGGTCGCTTAGTTTTCAAAAAAAATTACATAGTGTGATTTTACTATAGAAATCCGCCATTTTTTGTTGTCAATATGTCAATTCTGCTCGTATTTCTTGGTGGTCATAAAAAAAATAACCTAACCAGGAAGGTTAAGGTTAATTCTAACCTAATCTATCCGAGTCGGATTCGCTGTGTCGGTTCTGTAACTCATTAAATTAAAAAAAACGAACTATCGATACGAGTATGATATCGCCCGCTTCCTATATTTATCATGTTGGCAGAACTATGTATTGAGTTTTTGAAGTCCAATTAATAAAATGGTGGATTTCTTAGTGAAAATAACAAGTTTTAAATATTTTTTTCTACAAAACTATAAGCGACCACTGAATTCTACTTATTGATTAATTCATTAGAGATTTTGCTCTATCGTTTAAAATTTATTTTAATTGAATTACGCTAAAGTTAATGTTAATTACATTTGCCAAGAAATCTGTCAAATAGCTTTCTGGTACGTTATTTTCAACGTAAGTTTTTTAATTTATTCAGTTCGCTAAGTTTGCATTCAATATACGATATAATTCCTAAACGTCGTTGACGAATATATCAATTAGTTGATTTCATGGAAGGTTAATGTTAATTGATGTGTGATACGTTGACAAGTGAGCCCATCTCTACAAGTGTCACGTATCAGTCATACAAAAAGTGACAAACTGTCACAGTTGAGACAGTGAAACTTTGATTCGAATATAAATACATGTTTTTTTTTTCCACATACAAATTTTTCTGTTTTTTTTGTTATTCATAAATATTATTCCATTTGTTAATTAAATGTAACTACAATTATTGACTATTTTATGTAATTTAAATTTAAATTTAGTATGGCCAATAATTCAATAGCACAAGGACAGAACATGCCAACTATTGGAAACTTAAACTCACAAAGTGCTATTCAATATGTTAACAATCCCTTACAAAGTCCTCAACTTCAGGCGGCGTCAATTCAAAATTCACCCTCTCAGCACAGCCCTATGGGTACTCAACCACAAACAGGTGCCAAAGTTAATCAAGCTGGAGGTGGAGATCAGACTACTCAGGTGACTTAATTTGGCTTTTAAATAAAAAAGAAACAACGGAAAAAAGCAAATTTAAAATAACCTATATGGTATTATTCTATTTCCTAAAAAACAGAACTTGTGGACAATGCGGTAGTCATTCATAAATGCGTCGTCTACTTTTAAAATGAACTTGTGTGCATGTTAGTTATGAATGATTGCATGTAAAATAAATCAGTTTACCCATAAATCACACACTTTTTGAGATAAGTTCAAATGAATGTAATTAATTAAGAGTGATTTGAAATATTTATCATTTTTATATAACATTATTTACGTCTAGAATTTAATAAAAAGAAATGGATACACTTAGAAAAAACTCCCTGTATAGTTTAAATTGCTTCCTGATTTATAATAAAAAAATAAATGTAGCAATTAATTAATAATACATTTGTCATTTCAGAGTCTAAATAGGCCAAGAATTCAAGAGCTAGTGAGAGAAGTAGACCCAACTGTTCAGTTAGATGAGGAGGTGGAGGAACTGATGCTGCAGCTTGCCGATGACTTCATGGATACAGCACTGGGTGCTTCTTGTTCCCTTGCTAAGCACAGACATACACCAAATGTAGAGCTCAAGGATGTGCAATTACATTTAGGTACTATTAAAAGAATTATTCACATTTCTTTCCTAAGAATGAGCTTTGAAAATATAGAATCTATATCATGTGCCCTTTGTATTAATACATTCATCATCCGTATTAGTAATCAGAGATAATAAATTCATCAGTTATGCATAATTACTACTTATACCTTTTTTAAGAATGATAAAAATTTTGTTGAACTAGACCTAGAATGTCTGTTAACTAACATTACTTTAATATCCTTATTTTTCTTGTCATGTACTAAGTAAAAACTAATTAAAATTTTTTTGAATGTCAATAATTTAGCTACCTAAAATTTGTATTTGTCCTATACTGATCTTTTAAGAATTTGGAATTTACGGTCAATTAAAATTATTTATATTAATCTGTGCACTTAGATAAAAGTTTGTACAAATTAAAACAATAATGACAAAAGCTCTTGTTCGAATTATATTTGTTAAATGAAATGTGAATTTGTTTGAGTGTTGTAAAGAACATATCAATATATGTGCTAAGCATTGCTTTAAATCCAAAAAACGAATGTAGATAAAATAGTGAGAATTTCGTTGCCACACCTATTTGGTGCGGCAATCAGCCGTTACACTTAGTTGTTAAAGGGTTTGGCCGCCAATCCGGAAGAAGTGGGTTCGATTCCCGCAGCGGCAAAAAGCTTCGTGCATTTTTGTTCTAATTTTAATTTATAGGCAACTTACATTATACTAAAACGTTAATTTATTTTTTAGAACGTCAATGGAACATGTGGATACCAGGTTTTGGCAATGACGAAATGAGACCATATAAGCGTGCCACTGTCACAGAAGCACATAAACAAAGGATGGCACTCATTAGAAAAACAAGTAAAAAATATTAACACAAACTCTACTTTAGTGAAATTATATGTAAGACAACTGTGAATATAAATGGATATATAAACAGATTTTTTATAGTTTGCAATAGGATTTTCTTTAATGACCCTGTACATTTATGTGTTGAGATTTTACATCATCCCACATTGTCACAATCATGTATCAAGAACTACCTATTGAAAATATTTTAATGCATTTTTCTTTGAGCTTAAGTTAGTTTAGACAAAGAAAATTCCAAATTTGTGTAAAATTAAAGTAAAGTACAGCCTATAATTGTCCCAGTGCTGGGCAAAGGTCTCCTCTGTACAGGTTTTAGGGCATAGTCCACCATGCCACTGTGAATTGGCCGACTTTGCATATTTTCAAATGCAGGTTTGCTTACGATATTTTCCTTCACCGACGATTATGTGATAAGTAAATACTTAAAATTTACAGTTTAATCGGTTACGGCGCCGGAATTGTAAATCAAGTCTGTTGAGTAAATTTGTGTAGCTTATCTTTAAATTGTTCTTGTGGCACCATTTGTTCCTTATACAATGTATGTACAACTACATTTTGCACTTACCATGTAAATTATACACATCTAAAAACGATAGCAAACAAATTGGTTTAGCGTAAGTGGTAAAGGGCAATAGTGAATGTGAGTAAGCATATTGTACAAATATTAATTCATGATATTATTTAACATATGAAAACATAATCAAATCTCTTTTTGGAAGAAAATTATATAATTTATGAAATAGAGTTATAGTCATTACTAGCGACCCTCACCAGCTTCGCACGGGTGCAATGTATTATCACCCTATCTTTTTTTATGTGAAAAGTTCCCAAGCGAGCAGACGGTTCACCTGATGTTAAGTGAATACGCCGCCCATAGACATCTGCTACACCCGAGGGTTTGCAGATGTGTTGACAACCTTTTTGGAAATTGGGCTCCGGCTACCTCACTCACCAGACGAAACGCGAAAGTATTTGTCATACTTCCACTTTACGCCCGTCTTCTGTGAGGTCGTGGTTCCTACCCGGACGAACCTGCCCATTCGTGCAACAGCATCAAGACCCGTCGCATAGTTTTAAAGATCAAAGCACACATAGGGACAGACAGACAGCGGGACCACTTTGTTTTATACTATGTAGTGATTGTTTGTGCACTTAGCCATTTTAATGAAAGTTTATTGAAGGCCTCTGCTATAAAAATCCTGGCGACTCCATGAATCGGGTAAATTTGAGATTACGAGATCAGTCGGAGTATTCTAACGAGCATTATACATTCCGAAAGCTTGGAGCCGAGCTGGCTACTTTTTTGCAGTGAAAGGACCCCACAAGATTGGCATCGCCTCATTTGGAGACTGCCTACAATGTGAGACGCTCTACCATACCTGTCTTTCTTCCGCCTCTTCTGGCCCAAATACTCACTTGGTGACTCTCTACAATGGTGCTGTCATCCGCGTACCCATACACTCCGAGGATCGGCAGGTCTTTAATATGATAGCGTTACGGAGAGCACGGGCCTATTCCAGACGTCAAGGGAAACCGCGAGTGCTTCTCCATTGTTCTCGAGGGATCGAAGATCCCCAGTCGACCCATTTCGGAAAAACAGTACTGTTGATCAATTAGTGGTACGCTGGGGGAAAAATTATATTGAGAAAGAACTATGGTATGCAGTCAGCACAGCTGTATTTCAGCTTCCGGGATTAAGGCTATTACACCAGTCTTGACGGAGAGGCGGAACAGGAGCCAACTCAGGTGAACAAGCCTGTAGAACTATTGCTGGCATACCATCCGATACCCTGGATTTGTTCAATTCCACAAGTTTTTTAAAACCTCCATTTGTAACGTGTTTGTGTGACATAGAGAATGTCCAATGAACCATCCGGTTTTATATGATTTTATCAAAATAAATTATATAATAGCATTCTTATGTCATACAATAGAAGATTAAAATTATAAAACAATCGAGTTCAAACACTTTATCTCTCAATCTAATTCTGACGGTGAAACCTCCAAATAATCGTCTTCGACTTCCATTATGTTTTCGTTGGTTATTTTGCTTATTTTCATATCGTTGACAAAATCCATTAATGCGAGCCGTATATCCCAATTGCGATCTTTTAAACGTCTGTAATTGAGTACAGTTATGTTAAGTCCTAAAAACGTTGAGAGTATGTGGTCTATGAAACTGTAATCGAAACTCCAAATATCAATTTTATCGTTGCCTGATCCGGCTAAGAACGCCGCGCCTCTATATTTTATCAGAAAATGAAATAAATAACATCTCACCTTTCCGCTTCTTCCTTTCTTAACATAGTGAGATGCATGAACATTCTGCAAATCGTCTCCGATTCCATCTCGCTCGGATTCAAAAGGCGCAATCCATTATAATGCTTCATGGGACACTGAAAAGTTGAAAAATAGGAGACTAAACCCGTACTCGTCGTGAATACGTTAATGAGTCGTAATGGTATACTTTTAGGGTTGCCGGTTTTAATTTAATAAATTTATTGGTGAAGCACCCTTCAATTGGAACTTTCAGGTAAAGTTAAAATCGGAAGTGACTTATCCCATTAAAATCTACAGAAAATTTTTCTCGATTTTGAAAATTTCGAAGTTTTTCGCCGTTGCGGGATACGATTCCGGAAGACGTGGGGCCGCGGTGAGTAAAAACGTTCCGTTCTATTTTAAGTGCTGCAATTAGCACTTTAAGAAATTAATATAAAATTAAAATTATCCTAACTCCTACCAATCCTTAAGGAAAATAACCACATTTTTTATGCGAAACAGTTGTATCATAGACTAATGCTCCCAGTGCTAAGTAATTATAATTGATATACTATTGGGGAAATTACCTTAAAACTATTTTCTTTTTGCTCAGGGTTTGCTAATGTGACACTAAACATCTCGTTCGTGATGTGGTAAGCGTAGGTTGAATGAATCTTGTATACACTGAAAACAAAGGTCCTTGTGAACTGAATGTAGTTGTCTTGAGAGTTTACACTTTTCTCCTTAAAGATTCCATTTAATACTAGAACCATGTGCTTATTCTGTAAAGAAAAAGAAACAAGAAACACAACCTTATATTAACACTGCTAAAAGTTATTATTACTCTTGAACAAGTTTACAAAAGCCAAATGGGATTTACATAAAACATTCCAAACACCTAATGTTTCAGTTCATCTAATATTAAGTCGCCCATAGAGCACCACAAGCACTGTGAGATGGTAGCTTTATTGCTAAAATTTGAGGAAACTTATAAATACAAGTAGTTATATACTTTCTGGCCTTTAGAGCCGTGATAGCTCAGTAGAGCCGTGATAGCTCAGTGTGGGCGCTCGCCTTTTATTCAATATACTCGAGCAACCTGAGTCCAATCCCCGTTGCCGGCACCAATGAAATTGCTAATTTCAAGTGCTGAATTATCACGTGCTCAGCGGTGAAGGAAAACATCGTGAGGAAACCTGCATATTTTCGAAATAATAATTAAAAAAAATATTTCGAAGATATGTGAAGTCCGCCAATCTTGCCCTGCCCTGATACCCTCTGACCAGAGGAGGCCTTTGCCCAGCAGTGGGACATGTATAGGCTGATACTTTACTTTTAAACTTTGTGGTACTTCCCAAGACCTGCCACGTCATTCATGCAACATAAATAATTGCTGAATTTAAATGTATCAAATTGTTACTACCATAAGTCCGTTTATTAACAATCATCATCATTTCAGGATGTTTGAGTACACTGCTGAATATAGGCCTCCCCCATAAACTGCCACATTAACAATATTGGTGGTTTATTTAATGGATAACAGCACATTTTGCAAAAAGAACAGAATACCTGCAAGAAAATAAATAATCACATAAATGTTGGGAAATGCTTACGTCATGCTGCATGACGTCCAAGGTGAATGTGTTCAGGTCATGTTCGGTCTCCGGAAACCGCGAGAGGACGGCTACTATATTCTTCCTACCGGTGAACATTCTCTGCTTCCTCTCTATCAACACTCGCTGGGCGGGGTTAAGGGCATTTCGGGAATTGCACGCGTAGTGCACTAGTCCTTGGGCATCGTGTTCTGAAATTGTTGGATGCATTCAGTGGTAAACAGACGTATAGTCCAACAACTGTTAATAAAATATTTATAATGCCCTAAGTACAGTTTGATGTACGATTAAAACTTTTTATAAACAAATTTCCCTATGACAAATCCACCCAGTAAATTGTGCTGTAGCATGGATGGGCTGATGAGAGAAGTACCTCACAGAATAACGGCGTAAAGCAGAAGTATTTACACTGTGTTCCAACGAACCAGCAGTGTGATAAAACTGAAGGACCTCTTTATAGTTTGCATCACACTATTGAGAACTGAGATATCACTAATAAAACAAATACAGTACTAAAAGAATGGCTTATACGATTAACTTGTGAGGCGACCAGGGCCTTTACGGTTGATAATTATCAAAATAGCAATGTGGCACTTACCAGGTAAATTGATGGATATGGTCAACACAGCTGCAATATCATAGAACATTTCGATTTTTGTACGTGGTGATGTATCATAATGTGAAAAGTAATGGGTCAAAAACTTTTCGACAACCAGCTTCGTCCTCCTATCAGGAGTTACCGAGAATTGTTTGGAAAATGGATAAAGGATGCCATGTTGATTGATTTTTATACCATCCTGAAATGATAGATTAAGCAAATGATTAATTGCTTAGTAGACACGAACTGCCTTATGATTGTAATTTAGTGATACACAAAATAGTAAACATGAAATTATGTACTACTGCTAAGCTAAGTCTTATTTTTATCTTTATTTAATGTTATTTATGCTTTTTTTTTTTAATTTTTTTCATAGTGCTATTCTCTGATTAGATTGAACATTAAAACATGTAGAAAAAGTACGAAAAGATTGTCGCCGCAGTGGGAATCGAACCCACGTCTTCGGCATTCGCGGCAGCTGATTTTTATTTATGATTTTTATTTACGCTTTTTTATTTAAGCTTTCAATCTGTACACTATTATAGCTTCACTGAATGCAGAGTGACTGAGAGCTCATGGAACAGCCAGATTCCACAAAATTGATATAACCCTCTATTTGGATTCACTTACTAGTTCAGTCAACCGAGGAAATTTTATAAGAATCTGCTTGATGTAGGAACCAGGGTCCATCTCATCACATAATGGGTTTCCCTCAAGCCAGAGTTTCTCAATTTTGCTGCTTACCCTGAATTGCTCTTGGATAGACGGAATCTGAAAAATATCATAACTTTGTTTCTTGTTGCATATAATAGTTAGTGTGTTATATCAGTGGTTTAAATAAATTATTTACATACTCAGTACAACTAATAAATGAATTTATAATTAATATTGTAGACTTACATCATTATAGCTTAAATTGAGGCCAATTAAATCTCCTTTTATGAAGAAATTTAATATGTGTAATGGTACTTGACTGAAAATAATTAAAATTTAGGTAGCAAAAAGTGCACAACTAAATATTTAAAATTATTCTTTTAAACATATTTTTTTATTTGCAATTCAGTCCATTCAGCCTTTTGCAGGCCACTGCTGAACATAAGCCTCCCCAAAGGGGTGCCACATGCACAATATTCCTCATCCAGTTGAGAACCAGCCTGCTAAAACTTCTTCTTTTTTTAATTTGGGTTGTTGTAAATAATTATAAAGAGATTACATAATTAATTAATAAAATTTATTTTATTAATTACAAATAGAATAAGTATTTAATTAACCAAAAAAATCATTTTAGAACACTCACATGTATTAAACTGTAAAGTTAATTTGTAAAGGTCACAAAGCATATGAATTAGTTGAATGAATTTAAAATATATAATACATACTGTTAGGAGTGAATTGTAATGTGACACTGTGACAACAAATGAAAAAGTATCTGAATTTATGAATCGGTCATTCATAGTTGTATGGTAAATTTAGTTCTTTCTGTCTTTAATTAATTTGTTTGGAATTATTTTTTAACATTTATATTTCTTTTATGATTATTAGCAAGTAGCTTTAGAAGTATGTTCATTTAAGGTCACGGTTATAAGCAGTTACCAATGGAAAATTTGTGTGCACATAAGGATTGTTGTTAAAAAATTCACTGTTTTTCTCGTTTTGTAAGCCTATAGCTTTAAAAAATCTAGGTTTTGGGGAATATTAGTTTATATTTTCATTAGCTATCACCTAGGAGTTGGTTGGTTTTATCTAAAAATTGTACTTCATTTTATTCCAATCATAAATCAAATAGAAACAAATTTCATACTCTAACTTGTTGTTGCTTAAGTTCAGAATCTTTGTGTCCCTTCCCATTCTTAGCATTAGTATTTTGAAGTTTGATAAAAGGAACAATTTATAAAAATGAATTTTTGTTCTAAAAAATTCTGAAACATAAAGATTGTCACTTCAGTTTGTGTCGATATCCAGAATTAACCATTAAGATCTTTTTATTTTTAGTCATGCGACTAACCAGGATCATTGCAAAAGTTGGACAAATTTAACTCCATCTTCTCATTAAAGCGATTGCTAACAACCGAAGATATGATGTCGTCTATTGTAGCTCTTTTACCAAAAAAATCTGCTGATGTCTTGTCATTGAAAAGAATGTCCACATTAAACATACTCCTTCTATATGGAAACATAAAATCTAGTTTGATAATCTTCAAGACGAGACTAAGGCTGCTTGTATAAAAGGAGCAGACCTCATTTTTTGACATAAAATCGACAGGTACAACCGATGTGTTAAAGTATTCTGTAATAATTCTAAAGAGATCTATATCATCTTCATGCCAGTTATGTACCTGAAAATGGATGGATTAAAGTTTATCGCTATTCAATATTATTACTATAGAAAATAGAAAAACAATAACTTTTATTTAAAAACTACGCAGAGATTTTCCAGTACGATAGTCGAGGAAGACGACGTGGGCTTGATAATAGCTCATTATGTAAAACAATTACCATAACTTTATGAAAACAATATTTGGCGGATTCATCATCTCTTGCTAAAGCATCGTCTAAATAATCAATTACAACTTTAGAAGCAGTAACTCTATTTAAAAGAAATTTACGGTACAATACATCATTGGACATTTTTAAATATACAAAATACAGAATGTCGATTTAAAAATATATTAAGAAAATGTTAAACAACAACAAAATATTAGCTAGCTGTCTGACATCTGTCAGTAAATTTAAAATTAGTGTCAAATTTAGGGATGTCGAAAAAGTATCGATACTTTTCATTTTGGTGACCACAAACTGGAAGAACTAACGTTGGAAAGCGACCCTCTATGTGGACTGATAACATCGTAAGAGTCGCTGGCAAGTTGCCAGTGGCAACCGATAGATGCAAATGGCAAAGTGGCGTTCTAAGTGGGAAGCCAATGTTCAACAGTGGACGTTTCGCGGCTGATGATTATATGCATATTTTTAGCCGATATATTTGGATCCAAATATATTGATACAAAATATTCAATATCAAAAAAGTATCAAAAACGATATTTTAATTCTGTTATTACCGGCGCAACGACCCCGCCGGACTTAAAATACCTGGCGCTCGGGGTGCCTAGCCTGAAATTCGGTAACCTGAACCTCGGTGCGCGTCTAGCGCACTTCAGGCCCCTTTTACAGGCGGAATTACGAATTTCGAAAAACGTTTTAAATTCCGTACGTATTTTTAATGAACTCTCTGGAATCAGTGCACGGATTTCGATCGTCTCTTCAATAAAAATTCTGAAATACGAACCTTCTTTCACTCTCCACGAATAATTTAAAACAATATACTTTTTACTTTCGACATCCATATTTAAGATGTTTTGACAGAATAGATTCGATTTTTGAAATTTTTATTTGTTTATTTCAATTTTTATGGAAATATTACAAAATTGAGAATTTAAAGAAAAACTTGACTTTGGCGAAATAGTGCTTACTTATTTTGTATTTCATAGCTGTAACAGCTGTTGACTCGTGAGAGAATGAGATTTATAATGAATGATAAAAATATTTTATTACTTTTAGCACTTGTTTTATTATATAGTCTACGCTATGGCTATTGCAGTATATATGTCTTATCTATGGGCTATTGTATGCGTTTTCACGGACAATTTAAGCCGCTTTCCAGACATGTGTCGAAATACTTTCCTAAATATTTGATAAATAATTGAACAATATCTTTCAGTTTTGCTATTTTTTTTGTATATTATTTTATTTGACGGTGTTTGGGTGTTGACTAAAGCTTTAGGAACAAATATTTTTAAGTTGGTAACACTGTTTGACAGATTAAATCAGTCAATTTTATTAAGTAGGTACCTATTACAATTTTTACTGTTTTTTCTTTCAGTAATTGGCTGAATTCTTTAAAGAGAATCCATAAAGAAAGAAAGAAGTTTTCTTTCAGTAATATATATCTTATTTATGGATTTATGGATTAAAAATTAATACGTTATCAGTTTATATAATTTTATGATTTGTAATTATTTCAAAGATTTCTGTTGATGATGTGTGATATTCTACTCTAGTAATATCTTGCAAGATAAGTTTTTATGCCTAATAATAAAATTTAAAAGCATTTTGCATTTGTAGTGTCACAAATTCGTTTGTGATTTGTAGGTAAGATATCAGTCTTGTCAATAATCATTTCAAGTTTAAGTAATCACAATGAACACCGCTGTTTTACAGTTTTGCAAAATATTGGTTTTTTGTATTAATCTTTATGAGTATTATCTCAAATGTAATTGTAAGCAGCTCAGCGCCAAAGAAATTGCAGATTGGAGTTAAAAAAAGACCGACAGAATGTCCGATTAAAAGTAAGAAAGGAGATTTGTTGCATATGCATTACACGGTAGGTTATAAACAAATATTTTTTTATTAAGCTAAACTTTTATCATAATCAAGACACGGCGATTTATTTAAATAATATTTGTTGTTTTTATTTTATTCTGCTAATGATTTTTAGGGCACACTAGAAGATGGAACTGAATTTGATAGTTCAATACCTCGAGGAAATCCTTTAACTTTCACTCTTGGTTCTGGTCAAGTTATTAAAGGATGGGATCAAGGACTTATTGGTATGTGTGAAGGAGAACAAAGAAAATTAGTCATACCGCCAGAATTGGCATATGGAGAAGCTGGTGCTCCACCAAAAATACCAAAATCTGCCACCCTTACATTCCATGTTGATCTTGTAAAGATTGAGAGAAAAGATGAACTCTAAGAAGATGTATCCCTTAACTTCTCAACTCAATTAAACTAATAAGTTTTAACATAGTTTCTACTTTTAATTAGTCTTACCCTGATTTAATACATATGTAAGCATCCCATCATTTGATTTGAAACTTCTTTAGCTAGAATCAGCTATATTTTGTTACTGACTTATCATTTTTGTATGTTTAAGTGTTGCTATGGTCTTTTCATGGCAGTAGTCTACAGATTATATTACCTATTTCTAATAGATGCCATGCTTTTTGGGGTTTTTATAACAAGACTTGCAATGGTCAAGAACAGACATACACTTAGTTTTGATACTGTTTACCATAATGAATGCTCAAAATCTGATCAAAAAACAAATAAATCAACAAACATTTGTTATTTTTTTGTTACATTTACTTAATAATGTCAAAATACATGAATAAATATTCTATAAGTTTCTGGAGAAAATGAAGAGTACGTGGCCACCAAAAAATAAATATATAACTGCTCACAGTTGAATAACTCAGACCAATAAAACTTTGTATTTGTCCAAGTTCTCAACTGGGGATTTTGAGTGATTTTCTGCATGCGTAGGATGTAGTCATTAGTCTAGTCATACTGCACTATAGGAGTTAGTAGAATACCTAATTAGTGAGCCGCACAAGATCTGTCATTAATATTTTCTTTGCCTTATCATTAGTTTTTCATAAGTCTGCCTTGGTGGAATGCTGCCTCTAGGTCATTGTAATTTTTTTTCGTGTTAATGTAGTTAGCCCGGCGGCTTTGACAGATTAGGAGTAAGATGTAGTTTTTTTTTATGTGAGAAAATGGCAAACGAGCTGGCAGTTCACCTGATGTTAAATGATAATCGCCTGCCCATGGACATTTGCAACACGCGTAGGGTTGCAGATGCGTTGCCACCTCTTAATAATGTGGGCCCCGGCTACCTCACTCACCAGACGAAAAGGCCTGCCTGTCGATGGACATTTAAATAGTTGACTAATCCAGAGCAAGGAATAATTAAGAATTGAGTATTAGTCACGACATATACCAACGTCGAAGTAACGCTTACGATAAATTAATTATATAAACAGTTCATTCATGAAAACAATTCGTTTTCGAGAACTTGTTCATTTGCGTCAACACATTGTTGACAGAAATAACCAATTCGCGAAAGCATTCACTTCAAAAACAAAAAAACATTAAACGAAAACAGTTAATTACATAACAAAGGAATGATCTTACATTAAAAAGAAAAGCTCTTTGTCAAATCAAAGTCTCTGAATGTGATAAAACTTTTAAAATTTGGTAGAAATATTAAATAAAGATAATTACAGGGCTTTTGAATTTTCGAAAAAATTTCTACTAAAAAGAAATCGCATTATAGATAATTTACTTATAAAACATTTAGTATATCATCCAGAAATGTCTCATCTCGGCGCAAGCATTCGTCGAACCTGATCTGCAAATTTTGAAAAACTGCACATTGCGCGATTAATGCCAGTTATTTCATGAAGATAGTTCCTCCCCATAAGGATACGACTCATCAATTACGGTATCTCCATTTAAAAAAGTCACAAGGCCATGGAATATCCCCACCCTTCTATATAACTTTTCCTAGGTACCCACGTTTGTTTAATAACTTTTATTGACCTCTATTCTTTTGATGTGTGGATTTTGGATTTTTTACTTCTTGGTAAAAACAATTTCTTAGACCTCTCATACCGCAATAGATGTACAAAGGTGTGCTCTACTCTGGACATGGTGATATTAATAATACATAGTTGGTTAATATAAAAAAATCAATTTTAAAGTTTTTTATAGTGCTAATCTTTGCACTTAAGATTGAACATTAAAACATGTAGAAAAGGTACGAAAAGATTGTCGCCGCTGTGGGAATCGAACCCACGTCTTCGGCATTCGCGGCCTGACGCTCTAGCCCCTGAGCTAAACGGCTGATAAATTAAATAGATTTTTTCTACATGTTTTAATAAAAAAATCAAATCAATTAATTCCTTATGTTTTTAATGCAATAAAAAGTAACTACCTCAAAATCACATTATCGGTCTTCTCCATATCATTTGGTGTCATTTATTTATTAATTTTTGGGAAATGAAGCCATGTCCAAAATATAACATTCGTTACATCATTACGGTAACGATACTTAACGGAAAATAACGATGGATTTGATCTAGAGAGACAAGTTACATTACATTAAGAAAATATTTCAATAACTTTAAAGCGTATGTTGTTAATAATACAAATAAATAATGGTACTTGTTTTTTTTTTTCTACAAAATTTAATGAGTTGTATAAGGCGTGCCCTTTTGGAGTTTGCGAACCTTTCTATTTATTTACTCATTACTGCATTAGTGAAAATTGACTCCGATCGAAAATAGTACCTATGTTGTGTTAACTTACGACATAGTAAATTGTGATACTATTAGTTTAGATAATGAAAAGTTTAAGAGTCCAAGATTTTATGCTGAACTGTTGAAACACTGTTTACTGTTCCCAGTTAATCTTGGGCGCCTGTTGGCTTCTGATTAGTAGTTGAAATGGTAGCGTTACCTTTCAAACCTTTAACGAATTAAGATTGAATCACTGAATCACAACGCAGCGATCCATGGTGTTTGCCCGTGAAGCTCTAGTGTAATTGATAAACGGTTATTCAAACAAATAAATTTATTTTATGTTAACATTCCGTATAACACCGTAACTGCGTATCCCGAAGACGAGATGCATTTGAAATGTATCATTATGTTCAAACATGGCAATTTAGTAGTGATGCCAATAAGTTTCTATTTCCGTTTCCTCAATTGGGGAAGTTCCCCAGGCTTTATTTATATCCGCTTCAAAAACAACAAAAATAAACATTCTTTTAAAACGGAAATTTAAACAGAATATGAATATGAATTATGAACGGGTTGAAGCGCGGGCGTTTATGGATCTAACACTTCCGTTTCTGTTTCTGCTTCCATTATATTACTCTGCTACATTATTGTAATTTAGATATCGGCATTAACAATTATTCATTTTATTTACTTAGTCAGAAATTTCAACATTATTTGGTTATAAATCTGTTTCATTATAAATATCATATTCAATTGCATGAAATAACAACAACGTACTTACTTATTTGCACGCTAGCTATCCAAACTTGGTCTTTGCGAGTTTCTATTGAATCAGTTTATTCTATGATTTGAAACTCTTTATTCATAATGGCCCATCTGGTAATTAAAAAAAACAAAGGCTCAAAAAAAACAAAGGCTCCTTGAAAAGTAAAAAAAAATCACGTGCGTATTAAATCTTAAGTATTTATCTTCGCATTTTAATAAATTAAACGTAATTAATGTTTACACACATTTTATTTATTTTTCAAACATTACACAAAATATCAAGATAGTCAAAACACCAATGATGTTAATCATACTATAAGTAAAAATTAAGTACGTATATTAATACTGAAATTATCATAATGCAATTACTATATATGTTATAAGTAAAAGTAAATTGAAGTACATTTGAAATAAGTAAGCACGAAAACAAAATATGCAAAAATAAAAAAATAACCGCTTCAAAATACTGGTAAAACAATACACAGCAATCACAGACAGGTGGCATAATTTGCAAGTCATAATGTATAGTTTAAAAATACCTAATTTTTGTTTTGGAATGTGTCAATTTAATGATCAGAGAAGGTGACAACTGTGCAGATCGCCAAATGCTTACGAGTTTACTGATGACTTAAATTAATCAATATATTTAAACTAACTACATATAATAACTCACTCTAAAGATTAATTTCTCATGTTAGTATATAAATGTCATAAATTATCATTTTAATTTGTGCAGCAAACTTTTACAATCACGTCAGATTATAAATATTGTTTGACAATAAGAAAATGATTATATAATATTCCTTTTTTCAAATTTTATAATTTTAATAATAACTTGGATTCAAGTCCACATACATGGTTATGTATGTGGACTTGAATCGATCCAACATCCAAGTTATTACACCGTTATTGGTTATTACACCGTGGAACCTCAACAGTAATAAATAATTTGATTTCAATTTCATTATGTTTTTTCTATAAAATAAAAAAAGGTTAAATAGGATGTGAAAATTACATTCAATAATCACAATTTAAATATACTTTTTATTATATTACGTGAGGGTGTCACATACATTACATTTCCATATTAAAAATATAATTATGGAAATTTCTTTCATGCTAAAATAATATTATGATACACTGTACTCTAGTTATCAGATTACAAAGAATGTACATAATATGTTTAAAATATATTGTTCATTACAAACTAAATACAAAAAAGAGAACATCGTGTTAAAAGCCAAATGTGGAAATAAGTAATTTTGCTCGACAAAATATTCAAAGATTCGTGACAATATTCATTACCAATATTAAAATTACGGTCTACAAGAAATTCTACAAGTTGTATTGGTTATGCTATAATTTGCAAACGTTTTGACATCATATCTAGTCCTTGTTATCTAAAATTCGAAAAAAGCATAGACTATATTCAGTTGTCTATATCAAATTGCATTATTTCCATTTACTCTACACTAAAATTGTTTAATCATTATATGTTTCTTCTTTCTGCTCAGGGATGTAAAGGTGATCTGATGGGTCCAGTTTTTGCTAATGGAGTGCTTTAGACTTGATGGTGACAGGCTCCTGAAAGCAAAATAAATTTTCTTTACTACAGTGCGCTGGAATTTTCTGTGAAGCTTATGTAGACAATAATCCCTTCGCAGCTTCTGTCTATCTGAACCAGATCAACTCAAAAACTACTGAATAAATTTACATACCATTTTCAGTTTTCACTAAGGTAATGAATGACTCCTGGGAAAGGTTTAGAGGTACCTATAATTCATTTTATTACTGTAACATCTTACATATAACAATTAATTCGAAAAAACATAATTTATACCAACTTAAAATTAAAAGTAATAAAGTAAAATAAATTTATGCCTGTGCTTAAAAAGTATTTGAATAAATTTATTCGGATTATTTCCTCATGAATAGTTTAAGAAAGCTCATTCGTTTCTCGAAACTGAAAACTTTGAGAAAGCAAACAATAGGCACTAAACTTATTGGGACCCATAATACGACTACAAAATTAGCTAAACAACAATTTATCAATAAGAATCCAAAGATAAGAGAGATATCAAAAAGGAAAGAAACCCTTCATGGTATCTTTTTCTTTCAATGGCACTACCATGTGCCACAGACTCGATCGGAATTATTATCGTTGATGAAAGAAGCAGCGTTCAATTTCTTAGTCACTTGGAAGCCAAAGTCAAGCTGGCTTGTAAAATGCTCGGTGTAGATCAAGACAGTATTTTCTGGTGGTTCATCACTTAAAGCTCTACAGTTTTCGGGCGCACGTGGAATACTGTTCTCATCTCTGGTGTTTACTTACCTCGGAACAAAATATTATCCGCCTTCTTTTTCCAAGAAATAAGATAAATAAAAATGCTCTCGTCGATGTCTAAGTTAGGCTTACGCCCTCGTAATAATGATGAGGTGATATAATTTTTAACAAAAAAAAAAACCGGCAAAGCTTTCAAGCACGAAACTAAAAAAATTGTTAATACCTATAATATTTGAGGATTGACTTCGATTTCTCTGGGATGCCATCATCAGATCCAGGTTTTCTCATCATGGTACAACCCTTGGGATAACTCCTCGTAAAAAAAAAGAATCGTCAAAGTCAGTTCATAAACGACGAAGTTATCCGCGAACACATAAAAAAATAAAAATATACACGGTCGAACGGTCTCGGGTTTACTTATATGTCGTTGACCCGAAGATCGCAAAACATGTTGGACCACTAGTATGAAAACGTTCTAATAGAGAAATCTTTCAAAATAAATATTAGTCATATTCTCCTCTCGTGTAATTAGACGTTTTTAAATATGTTACTCCAAGAAACGGACTGAAAATACATAACTTTACTTACTTAGTTTGTACAATTAGCCAGGCTAACGATAAATAAACCGATGAATATCCGATAAGATATACATGTACACCATCTAATGTGACTATTGATATCTTATTGGAGAGGTATATAATGATGGCTATAAACCTTCATATATATATACAGCGTGTACAATCGCGACAATAAATGAACACACATATAGGGGATAACTTTTTAAAATTGTATTAAACATTTACATTCTTTAAACATCAATATTTACAGTTATTAAATTTTCCAAAACCAAGAATTTTAGAACACCCTTACGTATAAAACTGTAACGTAAAGTTCATTTGTAAAGGTCACAAAGCATATGAATGGGTTGAATGAATTTGAAAGAGACAAAACATACTGTTAGAAGGAGAGGCTTGTAATGCGACGCTGTGGCGCGAGTTGTATAGGATATTACAAATTTTGTTTCTTTTTTACTTCATTAGTTTGTTTGAAAAAAAAAAAATTTTAATTATGTATTTTGTTTAACGTTAACATTTTTTTATGATTATTGGCAAGTAGCGTTAAACGTGTGTTCATTTATTGTCGCGATGGTAACGACACGCTGTATACAAGAATTGCTCGTTTAAAGGATAAGATATGACAAATTATTAACGATCCGACACGTACTACTACTGTGTAACAGCTTTAAACTACCTCATTTCAAGTTAAAAATTTATATTGTTAATCTCTCCACGATGAATATTTTGATGTCCATCAATCATCCAGCGTCCGAGAATTTTCTCCGTCGAGGACTGTCCTAATAAAGGTGACTTCGTTGTCACCCTAGCGCGAGGTACAGACGAAAGATACCTTTCAGTGCTTTACAGGTCGGCGGTGGATCGCTGCTCCATGGGGGGTCGCCATGTCCGGAAAAGTCCCTTAGCTTGAGGTAGCTTATGGTCAGCTTAATGATGGACGACTTGTCCAGCTGGCTGGTGATGACTGCCGGCAGGGGGAGTATCTTCGCCAGCTCGTAGAACTCGTAGTTCTCCTTGCCTCGTCTTGAACGCGGCGCGTTGCGATTCTTCTACTTCCTCAGTTCGAGGATGCTACAAACAGAATGTTTAGTTAGATGACGGTAATGATAGTAATAATATCACTAGGCTTTGCTAACACATATGGAAATAAACATTTGTTTATTTCCATAATCCAATTGGACTAGCCAGTGTTTTGACTCGGTAGGAAAATAAATTTACGAATAAATTGACATATAATTCAAAAGTACCCGGAGGTTTTTTTTTTGTAAATCGTGTGTTTTGGAAATAACATTTAGATACAAATTACTGAGTAATGAAATATGCATAATATTTTTCGATCGATGTTTTTCACAAAAGAAAGAACTTTAAAAAAAAACAAAAAAATAACAAAATCGACAAAAAATTAAAAATAAAGAAAGCAATGATCTAGAATCGAAAAAAAAGTAAAAAAATAAATGTGTAAATGATCGTGATACGAATCACGGCCTTCTGTTTCGTGGCTGTTTATTAGCGACCGCCCGATTACCGACCGAGCTATTATAACATTTTTTTTTTTCGGTGAAATTTACCGTCGTATTCGAATAATATTTTTCATTCCGTGAAAACAGGGACATTTTCTGAAAATGAAACCTAGCTAGATCGATTTTTCGCCCCCTAATCTACGCATATACTAAAATTCATGAAAATCGCTGGTGCCGTTTCCGAGATTCCGATATATATATATATATATATATATATATACAAGAATTGCTCGTTTAAAGGATAAGATTGAGCAAAAATTTTAAAAATGACTAATTTTTGCATTATCGATATTTCTTTACTTTCCATGTTATAGTTGTGAGAAAACAGTATTGTATTATAACTTTTCTGTAAATTTGTTTGTTGAGAATTTTTCTTCTTCCTGTTGATACGTGTCTGCCTACCCGACTTTTGTGTAATGCGTGAATATAATAATATACATACAGTATATTTACACAATAAATAGATTCACGTATTTCTAAAAATTTGTCCAGAGAAAACGTTATTTTTGTCATTTCGCTGTTTGTTTCGAGCTTTGGCTTTGCAAAACGTGTTCCGTCAATTAGCTTGATGAATCGGTAATTTTCGAGAGCCATCTAAAAACAATCGTGCATCCTTAAAGTATCATGTCAAATGGGAATGTACACCCGTCGACGGGCCAAACCCACGCCACGCCCGCAGGTGGGGTCACTAATGAGCCCGCTGTTTTATTGACTGTACATATGAAGTTTTGTTCAGAACTGGCTTTGGGTTATTTGCATTTTAGGCTTTGCCACTTAATAGCGATCCGGACTTGATAGCCCGGTGAAAGGCAATTTATCCTTTTTATTCGTTGCTGTCGAACATGGACTAAAGAACAAGTTTTTTTTCCATTTTAATTGCGTAGTCATCCTTGTGATCTTCGGATTGCAGTTGGTAACATCTTTGTTAATATCACACGAATGGACAGGGATGTATATTACACCGAATTTGATTTTGCCTTTATATTTATTGCTTTTTCTATTAAAGGTAATTATATATTATATTAATAATAAAGTAAAAGCATTATATTATCGGAAACTAATGTTAATAAATTCAAGAATGTTTTATTTGTAAAAAGCAATCCTGAAAAATTGAGTGAGTCCTTTTTTTAAACGTAATACTACAAAATTAATAAGGTATAGATACATTTAAAATGCAACTTATATTTTTAATTACACCTAATTTATTACAGGTATTTATTAATTCGATTCAAATAAAGACTCATGTCTGAAGAATATTATGAAATATCAGACACGCCACCTACTTCCAAAATAAATCTGTGTATAGATGACACATTTTCATCTTCAATTTTCATTACATGAACTTTTTTTCAGTAAAACACAATAACTGTCATGTTATTATTATTAATATTTAATTTTTCAAATTAATCCAATCCTTTAAAATAAATATAAAAAGTTACGATTCAACAAACCGGCATCATAGGTAAGACACTGCACAAAATACTTGACAGCATTATGTATAAATTTGACAATAGTATGTGTCAATCTTGTCAGTCTGGCGAAACTAGGAACAAAAAATTTTTCTATGGACTTTACGCGGCCAAAAATGGCGGACATTGCTATCACTCTCCCTCAATGCGGTTTCTCTTTCTTGCAATACAAGAAGTGCCATGTTGTTTGTCAAAACTTAATTTCGCACCGCGTATTTTGAATGTAAATGCTTATTTCATTGTAAATTTAAATTGTTTAGAGTAAACTTTCTCACGAAAACTAATGACAGGTGATCAGAGTTGTACTTTTAATTGAAAATGCCAAAAAGACGGTGACCTGTGAAATTTGTGGAAATCGAGCAAATCATTCGAATCTTGAAAAAAGGATGTTTATGGCGAGATTTCCCTTAGATGAAGCCCATGTAAGCACTTAAATATGATACTTTGCAGCCATATGTAAGTAGAGCAGACGAAGAACAAATAAAATTAACAAATGTATCTCATTTAAATTGTGTGCTCCAGTTTCGTGCGAGACGTCGACGTGAACGCACCTGTCAATTTAATAGCTAGGTTTCGTTGTGACTTGTCATAAAGAAATATCTTTTTCTACCTACATAAATGTCAAATGTTAACCGAATATGGATAATGTGTTAAGTGGTGAAGTTTTAAGTGAATGTGATATAATGGAAGAGGAAATAGTGCAGGAACACGAGCAACAAGCGTCCATAAGTGGACAAAGAGGTTCCAAAAGGCCCTGAAAAGAGATTCCGGGATGATAGTGAGGAAATTTTTGAAGCAGACGATGGCTTTATGACTGTAAGAAAGGAAAAAAGGAGACGAGATAAACAATGGCTGACTCATAGTATAATGAATAGTGTTGATTGGTAATCTCAGATTATACATACTCTTTTGATATCAACTCTTGACCTATTTGATTTATGTATTATGTTTGAATTACTTTAAATTTGGAATGTTAGTTTTATTTGTTCAGACTGAATTTTGTCATATTTGATAGATTCCGTAAAAATATTTTGTAGAAGTAACATGTCTAGCTGTCTGACATAACTCTTGTATTTTATATAAATTTCATAATCATTACGTTTGGTCCAAAAATAAGTTCAAAATGTTTAAGTTGAAATAAACAGTTTTCCTATCAGTCCTTAAGTGTCTTTTTGGTTTGAGAGCGATCCCATGAGCCACATCCACCATTCAAGATAAAGAACAAAATATACAGCGAGTTAACTTAGTTAGCATAACGGGAAAGGAAAGTTTACCCAAACAATTTGGTATGGCCAAATTATTAATTTCAGAAGATATTATTAATGTGAAGAAGGTACAATTTAAAATGAATATAAAGCTATAATAGAATTTGAAGACAAGGAGAATGCCGTCAAATTAATTAATTGCTCAAAACTTAAAGAATTAGGATACAGGTGCCAGTTTGTTGATGAAGTCAGTTTGTCATATGGAGTAATAAAACAAGTAGATTTAAACACTGAGATGGATGAAATACATAATAATTTAGTATGCGATAGCGAGATAATCTCTGTAAGGAGATTAAAAAGACTAAATAATTTAAGAGAGTGGGTTGACAGTGAAACTGTTCGTATTTGTTTTAAAAGTTCGGTTCTACCACCGTATGTACTTATATATGGGTGTCGGTTTAAAGTAGAACCATATACGTTTCCTGTAACACAGTGTTCTGGGTGTTGGCGATTTGGGCATTTGGTTAAATCATGTCCAACAAAGGCGATACGGTGCCCAAAATGTGGAGACAACCATACAAATTGCGAGGCAAATAATTTTAAGTGTATCAATTGCAAAGGATCTCACATGGCATTGGATAAAGCATGTCCAATGTTTAAAAAAGAAAAGGAAATAAGAAAAATTATGTGTGAAAGCAATTGTACCTACAGGAGAGCATTATTTTTATATTTGAATAAGGACAAAACTCAACGAAAACTATATGATGCTGAGCGTGAAATTGATAACACTACGAAGAATACTCATCAAATTAGTAAAACAACATATAGGGTCGCTCTATTAACTCAGCCTCAGATATATATTGACTCTACTGCAGTTCATGGGAGGGAAAATGAGGACAAAGGAGAAAGAAGCACAGAGGAATCCGTGCAGTCTACAATTTTGGGGCAAAAAAGGAAAAAGAAGTCCAAAAAAAAAAAACGATTACTTGCAAAATAATAATTATACCAGTCATATTGAAAATGAACAGGTACAACAAGAAGACATGCAGACTCAAAGTAATAGAAATAAAATATCAGATAGCAAGATTAACTTTGATAAATTATTACAAAAATTAAATGAAATATTGTTATTAGAATGTAGTTTAGAAGTTAAAATGAGCTTCTCATTTGTACTTACGTTTTTGAGGAATTTATTTCTTACGTTGTGAAATTATTACGTTAATATAATAATTATTACGTTATACTAAAGTTCTTTCAATATTAAAAGATGGATAGTTCCATAAAAGACATAAATGTGAACATAATACAGTGGAATGCACAGAGTTTGCGACCTAAACTTAACGAGTTTATGTTATTATTAGAGCGAGAAAAGATACACATTGTCCTGGTTAGTGAAACTTGGCTGGAGTCGGGGGCAAATTTAAATATCACTCAATATAATATCTTTAGACAAGACAGGGAAGACTCATACGGCGGAGTTGCAATTATAGCACACAAGTCAATCAAAATTCAAAAGTTAAATGTTAATGTGAACAACTTAGGTATTGAGCTATTATGTATCAAACTTCTCAATTGTAATACATAAACTACATCACATTAGTTTATTGCCCTAGTTCTATTAAAACAACACAGGTGGATTGGGATAACATATTCGCCAGATTCAGAAACAAGTCTATTATTGCTTGAGACCTCAATGCCCACCATACCAATTGGTCATATAAAAATGATTCCAGAGGTAATAAAATCTATGATGCAGCTTTAGAGTATGGATTCTCCTGCCTGATGGACAATCTACTAGATTAAAATTAGTCAATAACCATTTACAAAGATCTTCCCCGGATATAACTTTTGTGTCTCACGATATTTCGGTGAATATTCAATGGAGTGTTATGAATGAAAATTTAGGAAGCGACCACTTATTCATTAAATTCATAATTAATTACGGAGAACCGATTGAGCTAGTAAAAAAACGTAATTTTAAACTTGCCAATTGGGATAATTACAGAAGCTACCTTGAACAATATTTAACATCTCTGCCAAGGGAAGTAGATAATATTCAAAATTTATATGATATGTTTATCCAACACATAAACAGGGCCGCCGACAGAACCATACCCATGGTTAGGACCTGTACAGCGCCAAATAACAAATTTAATCCTAAAAGCTATTGGAATCCTGATATTTCCAAATTGATAGGAGAACGTCGTTTAGCATTTAGTAAGTTTAGAAGGAATCCGTCACCTTCGAATTTATGGATTCTTCAAGAGAAGACAATGAAGGCAAGGAAAGCTATTAAAAATGCTAGTTCAGACAACTGGAAGAAATATTGTAGCAGCTTTGATCATTCTATGTCAACCACAGATATGTGGCATAAGTTGCGATGGTTGAAAGGTTATAAGCATTCTGCGTCGTCCTTTTCACTAGAGTTAAAGAAGGAAATGTTGTATGATTTAGCACCGGCCTTCGTAAGTCCATTGTCACCAATATTTCTATCAGAAAATACGCTTTTAGAGTCTGAATTTACAATACAGGAATTGTGTAATTGCTTAAAAAAGAAGGATACTGCCCCAGGTGTAGATGGAATAACTTATTCAATGATTTTTCATTTGCCAATGATAGGAAAGCTATATTTACCTAAAATTTATAACATAATTCTTAAAACTAGCTCGATACCAGTACAATGGCGACATGTAAAAGTTATACCAATTCCTAAGCAAAATGATTTAAATTGTACTAATAAACCAAGACCAATATCCTTAATGTCTTGCGTATGTAAGATTTTTCATTCTATGGTTGCTAAAAGACTCGAATGGTACGTGGAGAAATTTCAAATCTTGTCGCCTTTTTCTACAGGCTTCAGGAGAGGTCAGTCTTGTCTTGATTGTCTAACTCGACTCGTCTAGTGACTCAGATTCAGATAGGTTTCACGAAGGGCCATGCTACTCTAGCTTGCTTCCTAGATATCAAAAGTGCATACAATAATATATTAATTGATAAATTAGTAGAGATTCTTGATAATCTGCAAATTGGTAAGCTTATTTGCACGTATTTATGGAGCTTTCTTACTGAGCGCCGACTGGTTGTTATGAATGAAGTAACAGGGGATGAACAGTTAATAAGATATGCTAGAAAAGGACTAGCACAAGGGGATCCCCTTTCCCCCCTTTTATTCAATATTACCACTTACAAAATCTGCAAAAATTTAGTTAATACTAGCACAAGTCAATACGCTGATGATTTCGTAATATATACAAGTAGCAAATATATTTCAGACAGTTTTAATAAGATTCAAAACTCTTTAAATGTTTTTATTGCTCTTTTGGATGATTTAGGTTTAGAGTTATCAGTTAATAAATCTAAATATTGTATTTTTAGTAAAGGTGGTCGAGGAACGCATTTGAACCTCTCAGTGGGAAATAATACTACACTTGTTCTGTAGAATGTTATAAGTATTTGGGTGTTTGGCTAGATAAATCATTACGTTGAGCTAAACACATTAACGACTTAATTATAAAAACACAAAGGACTATTAACTTACTTAAAACTCTCACTCACACTTATTGGGTCTTGCATCAAATTCACCTACGCAGAATTTTTATTGCTACCATAAGAAGTAAATTGGATTATGGGTGCTTTCTATATGGCAATAGTGCAAAAACTAACCTTTTCAAGTTAGACAAAATTCAAAACCAAGCACTTAGAGTAATAGGAGGATTTATAAGGACCACACCCATACACGTTATGGAATGCGAACTTTGTGTAATTCCACTGCATTTAAGGAGATAATTATTGGCTATGAAATATTGTATAAAGGCACGATCATGGACCAACAATACTTGTATAAACGTTTTATTAGAACTAAAAGATCTTAAAACCAATAGATATTGGTCAAATAAAAAAATCCCCTTACTTGTCGAAGAGTTGGAGACCATTATGTCTGAAAATATAAAATCGTCTCCATATTTGGAAATGTTCGGATTAGATACATGGATAACTAATATTAATATTTATTTATTTATTTATTTATTTATTAGGTCTGCCAGTAGATGTTACATTAAAAACAATATTACATGAAACATGAATTAATGTTACGATTAATGTTAAGAGGCAAACACAGCATGCTTAATAATTAAAACAAAAAAATAATAAAAGTTAAACGAAAAGTGTGAACAAAATATCGTTACTTATTACTAAATAAATTATTATTATAACTTATTACTAAATAAATTAAGATTAAAAAAGCAGATTGTAACTTTATAAGACAAGACAAAAAACAGTAAAATCTATGAAGAAATTTAAGTCATGTGGTATATGGTATTTCTTAAATGACATATGTTAGGTTACATACAACATCAAACAGAATACAAATGACTTTTATAAATAAAAATTACTTAAATCTTAGCATTAAAACAAATTTTAAGAGCTTCTTATCTTAAGATATTCATTTATTTTACTCCGAAATACTTTTAATGAATCAAAATGAATATCAATGGTTGTAGTGCATTCATTAATTAAATTAGACAGGCGAGACACTAGTGAGTTTTTTTCCCAGAATAGTGCGTTTAATTTGCGGAGCTAAGAGAGCGATAGCTTTGCGCATACCTCGCAAGTATCCCCTTGCGAGGTATGCGGTAGTTAAAAAGAGCAAGGAGTTGTGGACAGTCAATATGGTTACGAAGTACCTTATATGCAAACAAAAGATCTAAGATGTCTCTACGATGCGCTAATGATTCCATATTTAAATGTGCTAGTTGATCTTTGTAGGACATGGTTTTGTAGGGTATACCCTCAGAGTAACGGAAATGCAGAATGTTATAAAATGTAACTTAAAATCCATAGATAAATCAAAAAAGGAATATGTTAACAGCTTTCTAAAAGTAGAAGTGTTAAAGGAACTGCATGAAGAATATAAAAATTACTATACTATTTATACTGATGGGTCAAAGAATATGGATGGTTGCGGTGCAGCTTTCTATGATCCCTTAAAACTAGGTTGCAACATCACTTGTAGTTTTAAAATTAATATTTCCCATATTTCAGTTATGTACCTGGAACTCATTGCAATTTCGGAAGCATTGTCGTATTTAAGTACAATAGACAGAACTGATATACTGATTTGTGTCGATAGTAAAAGCGCTTTGTTGATACAATGCTCGATGCGCCTCTAGAGGTGCATCGATAGCGTATGATATCTTAGGAAAAATTTATAGTTTAATGAACAGGGGCTTTAATCTCAAATTGCAATGGATTCCATCGCATATAGGCTTAAAAGGAAACGATGAGGCAGATCGTTTGGCTAAATTAGGGATATCTGAAGGAAAACCGCTAACGATAATGCCATACTACGCAGAATTGTTACCAAAGTACAAAAAAAAGTGCCACACACTGTGGAAAGAGTACTTCGATTTAAGGTCTAGGGATAAAGGAATTTGGTACAAAACAATTGTGTCTGTACCACCGCAAGTGCCATGGTTCTACAGTAGTAGATATGGTAGAAAACTTTTAGTTATAGCTCTTAGACTGAGATCAGGGCACATGCCACTGAACAAGTTTAGTTATATAATGAGAAAAAGTAGTTCACCTAATTGTGAAACTTGTGGAATGTATGAAGATGTCAATCATATATTAACAGAATGTGTGAAGTATAAATTAGCCCGTGATTACTTAATCAAATTATTAAAATTAAATTTATTCGATGTAGGTACTTTACACCATATTT